TCAATAGCTACATTTTGTGACATAAGTACTCAGGTATCGGTATGTTTCAGCCTTCGAAAAGTTCCTTATGTTGATGGGCATAGTTAAGTAAGTAAGAAGTTATCGCACACTTATCCATCTGTCTGTCAAATGCTTTCTTATAGTCTATCCGTGCGGCGGAGAAGTTCCATCAATTGCGTTTAACCACCTTGTCAATAAGGAGTGGTTCCTTGTTTCCACTTCCACAGTCCGATACCCATTTTGAACACGTGAGATCACCTGATTTGAGTCCAGGTGATGAGTGATTCTCACGCTCAAAATGGATGTTAGTTTCTTGTATATAGTGAGTAGGCATGTGACAGGATGGTATTTGCTCGGGTTTATGGTATCTTGGTCTTAAGGAACCCAGTAGTGAAGAGCTGCGGGAGCGACTTGTAGTCGATAGCTCTCTTCAGCCAGTAGTGATGCAGCTTGTCGAGTCCCAGACTTTTCTAGTTCGGGGCCCTAGGGACCGCCTCAGCTACGTCGTCCGGCGTTATTTTGACGGGGTCTATGGGCGTAACATTCGCACATTGATTCGTCATATCTTCCGTCCGAAGGCCCTTGCTGTGGTTTACAGTCTCTGACCACAAACTGCGCCAGTATGCGACAGTGTCGACCTGATTCGGAGCTAGGCCCATTTACCATTACCATTGGTCGCTTTAATGATTTATAGAGCCTCTTCTGATCACTCTGGAAGAGGCGATTCCGGTTGAAGCATGTTGACCTCTCGGTTTATCGCCGAATCCGCTTACCCCAAGCTGCTATTCTCTGGTGCAGGTATATGTGCTCTGTCATTTTTTGAATTATATCCACCTGTGGCAAATGTCAGTTTGTCGCAATGTGCATAACCCATGGCCTGTTATTGCCTGACCTGAAGCATGTCAGTCTGCTGATGAGGGCTCTAGCCTTTGCGATATGATCCTAAGATAGACTAGGCTATAGCTAGGATGGCATTACTTTCTCTAGTAGCATGTCTAGCCATAGGGAGCTTGACTCATTATATAATACGGCATTTTGCCAAAAAATAATTGAGTTGTCACACAAAGATCCTGGCTGGCATTCAAGTAGGTCACCATTATAAGGTTCAGAGCCCCTACTACTGCAAACCAAACACCTGTTGGCAAAGCTCTTACTGACTTCATCATCATATTAGTTTTATCACTTAACTGTTCTCAGCGGGCAATGGGGTTGTCACTCCCCTACGCCTTTTTATTGTTAGTTTTCTACTTTTCGACAATAAAATGTATCTTTAAATATTAGATATAAAAGAGTCTTATATTGTTGTTATATATATGAATGTTGAATTAGTAAGTAGCATATATAAATGGGTGTGCTAATGATATGTACGTATATTATATCACTGTCATGTGATTCGGTCTGTGATCACTATCAACTTTCCATTTGGTTATTAATTGCAAGTTTAATTTTTTTTAAACTAGAGAATCGATTTTCATCATCATCATTACAGCCCTTCACAAGTCCACTGCTGAACATAGGCCTTCCCCAAGGAATGCCACAAAGTACGGTCCTGAGCCACCTGCATCCTGCATGTCTTACCATGCCTACCCTGCATCAGTTTTAATGAAAACATATAAACATATCACAATTTCTTTTGTTAATTATAATTAGGTACTGTGTTTACTTACAATAATATTAGTTCAAATGAAATTGCACTTTGCTAACATGCAATTACTTTTCAGTTAGCTTTTATTAATTTACTATTACTACTATTTGTACTATTAGTAAAATTGTGAGTTTCACACAGATGACACAAGGATCTTATTAAATTCACTTGCATATTATTATGTTAACCCTTAGAGCTGGAATGCTCATGAATAAATACGCAAGATTTTTCTTCTTTGCTTGCAATTCGTATGAATCTGTTTGCAACCAATTTAATTATTTCAATTTAGTATTGAAGTGTTCTTTCTTGTGGCACATAATACTTGTGAATTATTATCTATAACATATAAAACTAACAGGACAGTCCTAGCTTATTTCACAGTATATTGGGTATGTTGTATGAAGCACTTAAAACTATTTTAGTAATTTTTTCAGTTAAGGACGTGTTCATGTTCCAAGCGCTGATTAGCTCAAAGCAGTAATTTTCAAACCTGTTAATGTTCATCAACCGCTTATCTTACTCAAATGTTAGTTACTCATAACTTTAGGAAATTTTATAGTCTAAATTGTTAGAATGTAATAGGTATGGCATTTTCAATGTTTCAAATTGACAATAAATATTTGTGTATATGACTTATAGCTAATTTGGGTAAAACCCAAATTGGACTCATAATATAGCAATTTATTTGTGTGCAACATGCAACACATGATATTCCTTATGGCGAGAACCTCGTGAAATCCGAAACAGGTAAGCAAACAAAATATCTGGACCTAACTTACAAGGTTACTGACATATGGGGTGGTCTACCGACCGAAATTATTCCTGTATTTGTTTCTGCGACCGGGCTAATCCTTATCAGCTTCTCGGGTATATACAAAAGGTACTTCGATACTGCGAGCACCGTCCGCTGCTCCGCTTTCTCTTTCCCTTAGGCTAGTTTCACAGCTTTTCAACGTGGTAGAGCCATGCTGCAGCTATATTAGTAGTATAGTTGTAGCAAGAATGGGTCGACTCGACCGGGGAAGGACCACGCTCTCACAGAATACCAGCGAAAAATAGCAGCTTAACACTGCTGTGTTTCGTATGGCGAGTGTAGAAAACCGGAGACCCTTTTTACTGGAAAAGAGGCATTCCATCTTAGCCCTCACGGGTGACAACGCATCTGCATTTTGATTCGCAAACGAGGATAGATGTAGATGTCTATGGGCCACAGCAACCACTTACCATCAGGTGGACTGTGTGCTCGTTTGTCACTCTATCCTATAAAAAAAATGAAAAAACAGCTGTACGGGAGTCCCGTACGGGTAGCGCCCGCAGTGCTCTGAAACGAGAGTTTAGTTCGATAGGGGTGTTAGCGGAAGACAGTCGCAAATGAAAGTGAATGCGAACGTATTAAACATTCTTGGTATTTATATAATTTGTGAGAGGCGACGACGACAGAGAATGAGACTATGAGTACATCCCATCATCGAAGCAAGATGTTTCGAAAGTGCATTGTAACCTTAAACTATAAACTTAGGAACGATCCGCGCAATTTTTTAATTACTTTCGTATGTCGATTAGTAGTTTTGATGAACTACTATCCAGGTTGGAGAACAGAATAAAATATCAAGACAGGTTTCGTGCTGCTACCTATGTCTATATATATATCTATGAGAAATATATATGTCTAATGGCGGCTCTTCACGTTGGCCAATATAGTGGCGAATGTGTTGGCAGAGTTATTGGCCAATAATTTGTGATCGCGTCCACACGTTGGAAGGTCGTTCTGTTTGCTTCGGTTCAGGCCAATGTACGGACGAATTTATTAAAATTATTATTGATGCGCTAACGGCTGCTGCGGTTTATTTATTAACAGCATACCACTATAACGTGAATGTGTATAAGAAAAGGGTGATCAAAAAGAAATGGAAAAAAAGAAATTTTATTTCTTGCCGGCTCCGTGGCATAGTGCCTTAGCAATGAGTTGCTGCGCTGGGGGCCGCGGGTTCGAATCCCGCACGGAACAAGTATTTAAATGGCCTGCAAATAATTGCTCCGGGTCTGGATGTTTGTCCTTATGCAATTTATGTTTGTAAACTGCCTCCACGATACAGGAGAATATCCTAGTGTGGGGGTAACGTTTTTTTAAAAGAAGATTTCATACGTGGTAGAGCCATGCTGCAGCTATATTAATAGTATAGTTGTAGCACGAATGGGTCGGCTAGACTGGGGAAGGACCACGCTCTCGCAGAAGACCAGCGTAAAATAGCAGCTTAATGCTGCTTTGTTTCGTATGGTGAGTGTAGAAAACCGGAGACCCATTTTACTGTAAAAGGAGGCATTCTGTCTTAGTCCTCACGGCTGACTACGCATCTGCATTTTAATTCGCAAACGAAGATAGATGTAGATGTCTATGGGCCACAGCAACCACTTACCATCAGGTGGACTGCGTGCTCGTTTGTCACACTTATTCTATAAAAAAAAAGACTTGAAAGACTTGTGTTTGACAAACAATTTTCGGTTTGGTGGGGCTCTATAAAGCGAAAAGTTTTTCCATTGGTCATTGTTACTGCCATTACGTAGACACTATTTACGATGCGTGCATATAAAATTTAAATCAGGTGCGTGCGATCACTGGGAGCTCGTAGCAAACTGAACGTTTGCCCAACGTGTGGACGCGACGGCCAATACTCTGCCACAACCCTTTGATATTTTGCAAAAAACCGACACCACACGGATCGCGCGCCAACTTGTGAGCCATCGTTCCAATACGTACCAACGTAGCTTAAACACTCGCTCTACACGATGGCCATCGTTGTTGGCCAACACATTCGCCAGTATGTTGGCCAACGTGTAGAGCCGCCGTATGACAAAACCCGTGTCAATTAATCGACTCATCTCGATTGTACTCACGGAGCACAGGCGCTCCGCATTGCTGTTAAACGATGAATGAGCAGCGGTGCGCTCGCGTCTGCATGTAGCATGTACGGGGGTCCGTTATATATCTTTATATATAAAAATTACGTGTCTCGTTGTTTGTCCGCGATGAACTCTTAAAATACTGAACTGATTTCAATGAAATTTTGCACACTGTGTGCAGTTTGGTCCAACTTGCGAGATAGGATAGTTTTTATCCTGATAAGTGACACTTAATATTTTTTTATTACGAATTTAAGGATTTTTTTATATGAAGGGTCGTCCAAAAAAGGACAGAACAACGTCTGCCTGGCCAGCTAGTATTTTTATAAGTAATCATGCATCCCAACCGGACAAGAAAAAAATAGAAATACTATATCCACATGAATAATAATAATATTAATATAATATAGTTTTATTCAATATTTAATACACATTTTCTAAATTTTGTCCCTAGTATTTCCCACCAGCAAGTGTTGGATGGATCATCTACTGTGCTCTTGTAGCTCTATTGTTCACATGCCTGAAGCTTTTGAATCATGGCCTGCACCACATGTATGACACAAATGAGTGCATTGTAGTCCAGCCTACAGGAGATCCAGCAAATCCTTATGGTGGATCTGCGTAAGTGTGTTTCTATTAATTTACAAATTGTATGAATAGGCTTAAATTCCACAATAAATTTACTGTTCTTTTTTTTTTCAGACAAGAAGAAGGAATAGAGATGATGAGGTTGGGTGTAGCTTTGGGAAATGCACTGGAGAACGACAATGAGTCTGTCACATCATTGGAATATCACAAGCCCAATAATAGTACTATAGGTTGTTTTTTCTTTTTTTTTTATAAATGTAAAAGACTTTGTTAGGTGCTCATAAAATAACAATATGTATTAAACTAAAAATTTGGTCACACTGAATCTTGGTTGAACATGCAATGTGTACATCCACATGTGATGGTGATGGTGTGTTTGTCTGACGCAGCGATCAGTTGCGAGCGTGCCGTCGCGAACCGTACCCGCTTTTGGTCTCACGCACACTGACATGTATACAGAATCTGTGTTACAGATACGTGTTTGCCACAAGTAAGGTCACATCGATTTCGTGAATTGCAATAACTATACCAACTTTACAACTACTTCAACATGCAAACAATGTCTTATCTGTGTAAGAAACTTTATCAACAAATCTCACACTTGATCTTATAAAAAGTCCATAAAAAAGTTTCATAACTTCGGTTGCATATCGGGAGAATTTCATTCTCTCTTCATGCTTAGAAGGTGAATTTAAAACCCTAGATGTAAATCTCTCAAATCTTAGATACTGCTCTCCAATATTGGTTTGAATATTTTTGGTCAGGATTCTTCAAATTTTTGGGAAAGTAACTACACCATCAGTAAATATGTACGAGAATTGTGTAGCATATTTGAATAATTAATAGATTTTTAAGTATGATAGTTACATTTTATTTAAATACTCAGTCAACCCTTTTCGTAAACCGAAGAATAGGTATAACATGAAAACTGTTGTGAAGATCGTTAATTTGTTAATTATTGCTTCCCCAATTTCAGATTTAAAAGTCGATGTCCATCGCAAAAACAGCTCCGAATCCAGCATAGAAGACAGTGCTATGTCGTCAAAACCAGTGGAAGCGGTCGCAGCGACCAAATCAGATCTTTGTGCAAATCAAACATCAGAGATGCCTGGGCCTTCCAAAACCCGTCCAACTAACAGAAGCCGCTCCAAGTCTGGCCACAAAAGGGAACATAGAACTAAAACAAGGAGAACACATGCTAACCGAATTGACGAACTGATTGTTGAAGAAAGCTCTAGGAACCAGATGTTCGCGAATAACCTTCCAATGCATGTTTTCACCGAGGATGGTCCCTTTGCAAAAGTCAGCCGCAGATATCATGAGTGTCCTCATAGACGTGGATCAAGCAACAGAGATTTCTTTAAGGAATGGTTGTACTTAGATGCTAGAGATACCAATGGTGATCCATATAATTCAAATGCAGTTCGTCAGCTCAGCTCAGATTCCAGAGACAACTCGGAACCAAGTGTAGGGCCACCCTCACCAAAGAAAAGGACAGCGCATAGAAGAAGGTATATAAATTACCCAGATGAAAGTTGCACCAAATCGGCAATGGCTTTAGCTACACATCCGTGTAACATGAGAAGGAATTCTAATTCAACCATGTCAACTATACAGTTGCCACTTTTGAACTCAACAGCACAATTGGTTTCTCATATGAGAAGGCATTCAAATAATGCTGATACTGGGTTCTTTGCTAGCGTTGAACTTGGAGAGTATATGATGGTAAAAGCAGAACCACCGACATGTGATGTTGATAAAGCTAAAGGCAAAAGTCCTGGAGTTAGAAGGATAAAGAGTGCCGCACTAGAAATAGGATGTCCACCTCCGAGTGTTTCGAACCTTTCCCCCCATCCTAACAGTGCAGAAACTATTGGTGGTCAGGTTTTAAAAAATCCTAAAAATGCTGTCATTCCCCCTCCCAGCAAATGCCTGACACGCGGTCCTCATTTAAACCTTTACCCAAAAGATGAATCGGGAGAAGGCTGTAGTTATCCATATCTCACATACGGATCGGAAATTGTGTATCCGATAGCTGAAATATCTGACGAAATGCAAACATCCCAGAAGGAGACCGACTTAGACTCTAGTGGAGACAGTTACAGTGATTATGAAGACGAAAAACAGTTCCGGGGTTTCGATTGGGATGCAGAGCAATCACCTGCCGTTCGTTCTAGTGATTCTGACTATGAAAATAATGGATCTAGGTCGCCGTTACTAGATAGAGCAGCTGAAGTGCGGATAGTCCGATCAAAACATCATAGTGACAAAAAACACTGTTGCGAACGACATTCCAATACAAAGCATAATACAGAGTGTTCAAACGATAAAACGAAACATGTAAGACTGAAAAAGCTTTCTAAAAATGATCATTACGAAAACAAACGTCTGGAAAGGCAAACTACCTGCGAATGTAAATATAACTCGAATGGTGATTACTTTGACAAAGCAAGTGCTAGTTCAAAAGATTTGCTTATAGAAAAATCCAGCTTAGAATCAAATGATAACACTGATCACGACAAAAAATCTGGTGATAAAAAGATCGTAGAAAAGAAACCTTGGGACCACGATATATCAAATTCGAGCAGCAGTAGTGAAAACAATTTAGATAAGCTGCGAGAAGACAATAAGCATGATAAAAACATGGCGCCTGAAACTGAAGAATCGCAGTTGACTTGTGACAGTAAAAGTGCAGATGAAAGAAGCGTCTACAGTTTAGATTGGCTCTTTGAAGAAGCGCCACAGGCCAAAATGGTCTATTGTAATGAAGGCGCATCGTGTGCCATTCAAGAAGAGGTTCCATGCCAAAAAGTTGCTAGTGCATTAGGAGAATCGTCGTCCAATGTCCCAAAAAACCTAGGAGCTATACCAAAGCAGATTAAAAACTTAGCACGATCGCGTGCTTCATCGCAAAAGGAAAATAAAAAGAAAGATTCTAGGAAAGAAAAAGATGAAAATCAAAATGAGGATCGTATTTTGTTAGATGCGGTAGAGGCACAAGCTGCTTTGGTTCAAGGCCTTGAATGTTTATTTGCGGCAACCAACGCTAACACAGTTGTAATGCCTGCACCGAATAGAGAAGATAGGTCTCGGAGTCATCGGCAAAGTATCCGAGGTGATAGAGAAAGTTCAAACAAAACAAGAAAACGGTCTATTGAGGAAGTCGCACAAACATCCACAAACACGTTGCTTCCAACATCGATGCCGCTGTTAGCAGCTTTCCTTAATTCAAGAGTTGATTTTATGCCATGTTGCGCAAATGAAAACGCACCATCAGAGCTCGTGCAGTATGCGGAGGAGGGTCAGAGACTTAGACCTCTAATGGATAGGAATCACAGAAACAGAGTTAGGAAAATTAAACGTTCTACACGGCAACGCAATAATCCATCCTTACAAAATAACACTGAAAAAAAAGAAAAGCCGCCTAGTTCAGAAAATCCAAATAGCTCAACCAATGTGCATTTCGCAACGTCGTTTGAAGACACCAGCGACGGTGCTATTCACAGGTTTATGGACGAATATGGCAATTGGATGTCTTATACATTTGACAAGAACAGTTCGGGCAGGGCACAGGCCCAACCTGCCTCTGCACCAGACAAGGAAGATAATTTACGATGTAATAGAGTGAAGCCTGTAGATATTCCCGACTCACAAGAAACGGCTGGTGAAGGGAGTTGTGGCTCGCTCGAATCGGAAGCAGGAAATAGTGAGAGCATAAGCAAAACAAAACGCGGCGATAGCATAGACTCTTCAAATCAGGGTAGTAATAACCCACTTTTATCTAGTAATAACAATGTATCAACAGTAGTTCCTATAAATACGAATAATACTAACAAACGGTTCTATGTATTCGACGGTGGAACTGGCTCTCATAGTGATCAACCTAGATCTCCTGTGGCTTATGTGACTGATAGTTTATTAGAGCAAATCGAAGCGGAACGTCAGTCTCGAATGGGACTGCCGAGCATGCATATCAACTTCTTGATGAGCCAACAAAGGGCTCAGCAACAAGTACAACAGCAGGCTGAAAATTCTTCAGCTAATGCGCCTAGTCTAATGCCTTCGATCGGCGAAGAAACTGTAGATATAAACATAAGAAATAAATTTTCGAAACTCATGGATGAAATTGAGAAAGCTAATCAACCGAAACCAAAGAGCTATTATAAATTCAAATTATCTAAGTGCTTGGAAATTAAAGTGACAATGGACAGATTAAAATTGATGGCGCTTTTTGACAGGAATTTAACATTTAAAGAAACATTTGTTTCTATACTATTGGCTATCGCAGTTGCAGTTCTCGGTTCAATGGTATTGAACCTTGGATTCTACAAAGATATATACGCCTTCTGGTTTTGTTTCATTATGGCGGGTAGTCAGTATTCTTTGTTGAAGAGTGTTCAACCTGACTCGGCATCACCCGTCCATGGATTTAATAAAATGGTGGTATTTTCACGGCCAGTTTATTTTTGTTTATGCACGGCCATTTTGTGTGTAGTTCATAATCAACTGGAACAAATAACGATATCTGATGATGAACATTTAAGAAGCAGACGGAGTGTGAACGATAATAAACCAATAACCGTTTACGGGTTCGAGTTAAACGAACGGGATTTTTTATGTGTTATCCAAGAAATTCTTTCAAAGTTCCTATTGTTTTTTCCGCTGGCCTTTAGTTTAGGCCTTTTCCCACAAGTTAATACATTCTTAATGTATTTACTGGAGCAAATAGACATGCATGTTTTCGGAGGTAATGCAACCAGTAGCTTGAGCGCCGCTGTATATTGTGTAGTGCGCTCCGTAGCTGCCGTAGGAGTCCTGTATGGATTTGCATATAGCGGCTTGATTGAAGGAAAGAAGTCCCAGTATCAGAAACACAATATTCTATTTTCGATATTTTGCGGCCTACTCGTTCCAATAGCGTATCATTTAAGTCGAAGTGCAAGCGACTATACCTTAATATGGAATTTAATAAAGAAGCATCTCCTTCCACCGGAACTGTATGTGATGCAGCATCCGGAATGCTCACCGGAATCAGAAAAGACTGAAACTAATCCCTTAAGCGATGATAAGAAGAACAATTCTGAAAGTAACATCTCTAAGCAAAATTCAATAGGTAGTTCTGCGTCTAAGATAAACTTTAGCTCAGAAACCAATATAGCCAAGTCACAAAAACGGTCACAAACGTCTAGTGTTAGTTCATTAAAAATGGATCCCAGGACAGATACAATGAATTCCACTAACTCATTGAAAGGTGAGCCTCCAACTGAAGCAGAAGATAAAAGCCGTGATACAAACACTAATAATTCGAATGCAAACAAACACGATGCCTCTGACAAGGCAGACGAGGATATGGAGGACCCATTGCCAAAGAAACTTCAAGCGACTGTCAACGCTAGGCTCAAAAATGACGTCATAGTATGCACCTTTCTCGGGTTGTCCGTGTTCGGGCTGCATTGCACTACTGTCTTCACAACACTTCGACCACAACTTAATACGGTGGGTGGAATATCCTACACAATTATACGTAGCGGCTTGAGCCGTGAGCACAGTCTTTGACATGCGTAATTGTCGATTTATAGCTCTGTTTGGTAAAGTACAAGGGCGCGAAGTGGGTACGCTGATCTATCTTTCACGTGATTGGTCCGTTAGTTAATCTTCGTCATTCATTGGATATTCGCGTTAAATACGCCTGCATTTTATTAGCTGCAAAATGTACATGCGCAAACACTGTCGCTTGGTGCTCACGACTCGCGCCGTTATTTATAAATGTTAACAAGTTATTGGTGCGTTTAGTTTCAAGTACAGTGCTTAAATTAACTTGAATTTACCGTGTAATGGTGGTGTAAGAATATCCACTACCTCATATCATTCTGTGGATGTCGTAAGAGGCGACAAAGGGAAACAAACTAGGAGATGATAGGAGCGTTCCACTAATAAAAAAATAGCTAGTTGCCAACCCGCCTGCAGCAGTAGACTTGATAGGCTGTAACGTTAACTGTAACAGTACTAACTGCACCAATAACTTTGTCGGCAGTTAATTCTTATAGTTTAAATAAAAAAAAATAATGTAATATCCAAGAGTGCACACCTCGGACGGGACGGTTCACAATAGTGAAATTCAAAAGGCTTCCTAATGATTAAAATCTAAAGCTAATAAAAAAATCAAAGTAATAAGTTCAGTTTTTTGAAAGATATCTTGTTCACATCCATACTGACCAACTGACCTCCAAGTTAAAATCATTTTAATTAACCTTTTTTAATAATAATCGAAATAAATAATCTTAATGCAATAGAAAACAGTGAAGCGTAAAAGCAAGAAAACACAGTAATGTATTTATTATTGTATTTGGATTTTTAAAAAGATTAAAGATTTTTGAAATGAAAATGGTTAAAAATAATGTGTTATACTAAAGTTGTGATATGATTCAATTCTGACATTGAACTCTTTTAAAATTGTCCGTGTAGCCGCAACATTTAAATCAAATTTAAATGTAAAATAAACTTTAATGAACCCGGCATGTCTGGAGAGAAACATATTTTGAAGTTAAATGTCCGCCAATACGACTTCAAAACAGGAGGAGGTACTCAATTCTACTGTATGTTTTTTTTATGTGTGTTACCACATAACTTTTTCTGGGTGAACCGATTCCGATGACCCTTTTTTTATTTGAAAGCTGGTGCTTCACATGTGATCCCATATAAATGTGATCAAGGTCTGACCAATAGTTTTTCAGTTATTCTTAATAATTAATATTGAAGTCGGTTGTACAAACTTTTTAAGTTTTAATTATTATTTCAACCTTTTCCAGGTGTTGTGGATTATAGCCGGTTGCCTAGGCTGGGTACTCCATTACATCATACCGCAGCTTCGCAAACAGCAGCCGTGGTTGTGTTTGGCTGGCCCAGTTTTTAGGCAGCATGAACATGCACAATTCGAGGTCACTGAGCCCGCCAGACTTATGTTGTTTGAGAAGGTACGTTGTTTCTCGTGATTTGCCTTCAAACTAGGTATAATTTACGCACTGTGTAGTTGCGGTGTACGGATATCCGCTACACTATTCCGTCGCGTGGTTGTCCAAAGAGGCAACAGAGAGAAGCAAACCAGGAGATGAACAGAAGCGTCTTCTTTATAACACGTAAAAAAAACTGCGGTTGCCAAATATCGAAAATATCCCCCCTATAAGGCAATATATGGCGTAGACTTATGTAGACTGTAATAGTAACTATATATTTTTTTTTTTTATAGGATATGGGTGACAAACGAGCACGCAGGCCACCTGATGGTAAGTGATTGCTGTGGCCCATAGACATCTACATCTCTCCTCGATTACGAATCAATATGCAGATGCGTTGGCACCCGTGAGCACTAAGATGTAGTGCCTCGTTTCCAGTAAAAAGGGTCTCCGGTTCTCTACACTCACCATACGAAACACAACAACGTTAAACTAAGAGTGTGGTCCTTCCCCGGTTGAGCCGACCCATTCGTGCTTCGACTATACTAGTAATATAGCTGCAGCACGGCTCTAAATGGTCGGCAATTTTTTTTACATTGAAGCGATTATCATAATAAACGATCATAAGCTTCTCCTATGCTAATGCAAGTTTTTTTTTTTAGAAATAAATTGTGTTACGAGATACAACTAACAACACTTTCATAAAAAATCACAAATTAATAAAAAAATGTAGTAGATCCTTGGGATTCAAACCCACTTCAGTAGATACAATAACCATTTTGATTATGCCAAATAATTATTAATAATAAAATAAAAGACAGCTTTCTTGACATTATGTTTCAGATCTTTGTGTACCTCAGTTTCCTTGAGCGTAACGTCCTCTATCCGGCGGTGGTCATTGCTGCCACTACGCAAGATGCTCCCGCCATTGCGGAAAAATATGGTGACACAGTTGGCGCGTTGATCATTTGTGTTTGTGCGTTAAAATGTAAGTGAGCTGTACACTTATAACAGGCAAACAATTGTCAATCGACATTATTACATGGGTGCTATTTAAATTTGGACGACGTGATGATATTTTCAAAGCAAAACAGTGTGATTGTAGTTAGACTGACAATTAAGTTCTAAAAAAAAGGGAATACTGCCCACTGCTATGCACAGAATTTAAAGCAGATATTATATAGTTTAAAAGACCCGATTTCCAATAGATCATTGCAAATTCTTCCCTCATGCTGTTTTTTTAAGGTTCTTGTGTAAACCTGAGACAACATGTAACTGACTCTGTCGGAACAATATCAGGAACCTTTCTAACTTATTAATTTAGTATCATCACAAATACATGTGCTGGTTATTAACATAAACAAAAAGAAGAAGATACCGTACAACCCAACATCATGTACCGTGTAGTGGCGGTGTAAGATCCACTACCCCATATTGTCCGTCCCGTGGGTGTCGTAAGAGGCGACAAACGGAAATAAATCAGGAAATGGGCAACAGCATCTTCCTGATAACAACTAGGAAATAATAAATTGTTGTGGCCAACCCATCTGCCAAGCGCGGCAACTGTGGCAAATGTTCCCTTTATGAGGCTATCCATAGGGGGGCTATGTTAAGCAGTGGGCTTTGATAGGCTGTAATGAATGAATGAATGAACATTCTATAATCAAAATTCATCAAAATATTTCGTTAATTTTTTATTTATTTTAGAAATGAAAAAATATCGTCACATAAACGTCACAGGAGTCACCGTGTGACGGTTGTTTTGCCAGAATTATTAATTTTTACGTTTGTAAAATGAGCAGGAAGGCATTTCAATGACTATTTAATGAATACTATGCATTTTTTTTTCGAAAATAGCTTACATGTGTAAGCGAAAATAGTAGTGACCGCAACTTAAGGTCACTTAGACGTAATTTTCGTGGTCCACTTTTTTGATTTTTTGTTTCTATCAATGGTGCTAGATTTACGACAAATTTTTCAAAATATTTTCCATTCTGTGCCTTTAGTCATTATGCTACTCTCGCTTTTCTTGTTGATTAGCTATAAAATTGTTCCCAGGTCTCAGAAACGCCTATTCAGACCCGGACAGCCAGTACCTAATATTGGTATTCGCTGTTCTGATATTCCAACTGGATTTGAGCAGTCAAAAGATGTCCGAGACGTTCCTCGTCGATTATTTCGTAATGGCCATCATCTTCAACAAGGTCTATGAATTTCTACTGAAGGTTTGTAGCAAATTTTTCTCAAAATGCTTATTCATTATGACTTTGATTAATTATCATGTGTATGATTTTTGTTAGGTACTAAAACAAGTGTGTTGGATGCATAAGAATATCCATTTACCAATTCGTTTAGAATGAGAAATACCAGTAAGATCACATGTTAGTCTCGTATATACAATAATACTATTACTGTTTATATTTATTTGTTAATTTTCACGTGCTCGGCGGTGAAGGAAAACATCGTGAGGAAACTTGCATGTATGAGAAATAAAAAAAAAATCGAATGACATGTGAAGTTCGATAACACGCATTTGTGCAGCGCAGCGGATATTTCCTTGCCCTAAAACCGTCTCAGAAATGAGGGAAGGCCTGTGCCCAGGTGTGGGACGTAGGTTATAACATTAACTGTTTATATATATGCTATTTACTAGGATTTATTTTCTGCCTTGGCGTCCGTCTGGGTAGGTACCACTCTCTTGCCTATTTTTGCCGCCAAATAGACAGTGATTGCACTGCTGGCGCTGTGTTCAAATCTGAAGGGTAGAGAGTGTAGAGAGCCAGTATAATCAAATCCTCAGAGGTGACAACCCGTCTAAAACATATTTACAGAAAAGATTTATACGTGCTATTTAATATATTAGACCAAGTCCCTTTAGAGACCATTTAAAGGAAATAAATCTCCTAACTATTACATCACTATTAATTTTGGATAATATTATTTATGTAAGAGACTGTTTTTTGTCCAGTCAAATAAGGTTTGAAATCAAAATTTTGGCATTCAACTTTGCATTTTTGATATAATGTAGTTTTAATGATACAAAAACAATGTATAAAGGTTTTCGTGTCTACAACCCCCGACAAGGGTTGAGAAAATTGTCAAAAGTGTTTTTTCGCAATTACTCGAAAATTTAAAAAATTGGACTATAAAAATCTAATAAAAATGTGTAGAGCTTAAAATTTTACATATAAAAGGTTTTATGATTTTTTTACTCCGGTCAAAATTAACCGAGTTAGGGTTTGGTTTTAAATTTAAATGATGAACGTAAATTAAAATCGTAGGTAGTAGAAATATAAGCGATTTTTTTAAATTGCCTAAAAATCTAATATTTAGTTGTTAAAATAGTTAAAATATGCATATTAGTGTACTTGTTATATAAATAAATAAAATGAGTGATGCCTATTCTTTTAACGCGCGTAATAAATGTAAATTTACTATTGAAAAGTACAGGCTATGTAAAACACGTCCATGGACTGCAGTAGTCATTTTTTTATAGAATAAGGATGCCATACGAGCACACAGTCCACAGGTTAGTGGATGCTGTAGTTCATAGACATCTACGTTTATCCTCGATTAATAATCAAAATGCAGATTCGCTGTCACATCTGTGGATTAAGATGGAATGCCTTGATTCCACTAAAACGGGTCTTTGATTCTCTACACTCACCATCAGATGGACTGATTCGCTTGTCACCTCAGTTTTTTTACCCGAAACGTCGGGAACGAAAAATTATTAAATTAAACGCAATAAAATCCGTTAAAATAGTTTTATTCAAGTTATTAAAATTATTATTCAGTTTTATAAAAAAATATCCAGCCCAGTCCGGCAATCTGAAACAGCGTCAAAGTTGCGAGTAATCGGGTTCTAAGATTGCTTGCAAAGCGTGACGTGACGATGAACAAATTCTTCAGCAAATCCTACAGACACACAGTCATGAACCTTAGAAAATAAATAAAATAAAAGAGCAAGTGGTCTTAAATAATATACCTTTATCCAAGGAACTAAGGTAAAAAGAAAGCTTTTTAGGCTTTCTAAAACTCAAACCTTGTCATATTTTAAATGTTGATTCAACACTATCGTCCTTACAACCCTTCACAAATCCACTGCTGAATATAGGCCACATCCAAAAATGCCACAAAGCACGATCCTGAACCACTTCCATCGACTTCCTGTTATCGAGTAGCCGTACCTCGTATAAAGAGACGCGCCACTAGATGGAGTGACGATCTGTTAAGAGTTGCAAGAAACGTTTATTATTTGAATATATTGATTTTTGCTACAGGTTCAATTTGTTGTGACGTACATAGCGCCGTGGCAAATAACATGGGGCAGTGCTTTTCACGCATTCGCGCAGCCTTTCTCCGTACCGCACTCCGCCATGTTGTTTCTGCAGGCCGTAGTCTCGGCTTTACTGTCTTCGCCACTAACACCAGCCCTCGGTGAGTTTGTTTAAATTCCTCTGACTTTCAGGAAGTTGGCGGTGTCTCACCCCCGTGCCTCGGAAAGAACGTAAAGCCGCTGGTCCTGCACCTGATTTTTTTCCGCTCGTGTTGAATTACCGCCCTATCGGACTATGAAAGTGAGGAAATAGAGAGTGTAACTGTGCTTGCGCGTACACTCGGGCACTAAAATCCTGTCCCGCGCAGATGGCTAGACTCCGTTCAGACTGGCCGCCGCGACCGAAATTCGGTCTGAAGGACTACTAATTAAGTTCGAGTTAAAATTTATCGATTATCTCCATACAAGAGTTGATGAGCTTAAAGGCAATGATAGCCTTACCCTCGCACTGGTAATATTACCCCATAACATTACTAGGGCGAAAGCATTGCCTCTCGGATATACCACCATTATCCATAATCCCATGGAGCAAATACAAAGAGGTGTTGTAATTAGATTTCACTATGTAACAACGCGTGACAATTTGCGGGGTGATGAGGTGTTAAGTCCCGTCCACGTAACTATTTTCCATCTACCGATAAATAGTAAAACTACTCGCATCGTTCCATATCGATGTTGCAATGTAGTTTAGATACCTTGAAGATAGATGGCGGCCTGTTTACAAAATGATTATAAAAACTGTAAAAATAATATTTTGGCGATTAAAAATTCTTTAGGATTGAATGCAAAACAAATTTTAGCACCTTCGTATGATTATTTTAACAATACTGAGTTCTACGTACCTTTATATTTTTAGTTCCCATGACACAAAGTGTCACCATCTAGTGTCGAATATATTTAATTATATTTGAAAGCCGACGCAGAGATTCTTCTATTTTAATAAACATAACATAAACATAAACACTCACGCCTGTCACCCAGAGGGGTAGGCAGAGATTATGGACTTCCATTTGGCACGATCCTGACACACCTCTCTCGCTTCCTCCACATCCATATACCTACGCATACACGCTCGTCGGTTAAAGGTACTCTTGATTTGGCCCATTTTTAATATATCGCCAATTTGGTCGATAAACTTTCGCCTAGGGCGACCCTTCCCGACTATGCCGTTCACCTCTGCAACATAAATTTGCTTTGTCACTCTTTTAGTAATTTTATACCTATTTTAATAAATTAGGTATAAAATTACTTACAAATTAAATATGATGCCATCCATAGCATCAAAGCATCTATTTGAGTAGTTTATACACGATAAAACACAACACTTCATCCTTTTCTTCTTATTACTACGAAAATACACCGATTTCCGATTTTCGACACAAGTGCACAGGAGGAACGCTGACAGTAATAACTAAAGCCACGCCCACTGTGATAACGTCAGGACCTAGTTAGCATCACAGTGCACAGTTGCTTAGGCTGTCTCCTCTTTGTATTTGCTCCGTGCATAATTCGGGGAAGCCTCCTTCATTAATTATCCTGCCCCCTGATAGTGAGTTTTCTATCGTATCGAATTCGAATCGCAACGAGTGGTTTTGTATGACTAATGTGTAACAATACTTTTACTTACGTCCGCCAGGGGCGTTGTTCCTATTTTCATACAATTCTAATTGATGGCCATATGAAAACGTTAGTGTGAAAAACTTCCGCTGGGGGCACTAGTCCACCTTTGTAATTACGTGACAAACAAGCACACGGTCCATTTGATAATAATTATTATATTTGAGTATCAAAATACAGTAATCAACACCATCATGCTGTAGTGTAACCCCCACGACAATATATATTAGTGTTAAGCTTAGAATAAGAGAGTAGTCTATATAATTAAAGTCCTAGACAGATCAACACGCCTCTCATTGACACCTTCCCTAAATTAAAACGCCGTAACAATAAAAAGTGAAGTATTGGAGAGTGTGATTCCGCCTCTACAGAAATGCATAGGAATCGCAAAGAATTATGCTGTACAAATTGGGTTGTAAATGGAAGCTACCGTTTACCGGAAGCTTCAAACAATAACTAAAAACTGTCCTCAGGGCCGGATAACATCAGATGGGATGCTGTGATGAGGTTGGCCTTAACGGGATTCATGGATCCGCAAAATCAAACTATAAAATACCTTGCAGTCAAGATGGAAATTTATTATTCTTTTTGTATCTTTTCAGGGAGCGCCATATTCATGACGTCATACGTACGACCAGTAAAATTTTGGGAGAGAGACTACAACACTAAAAGGGTGGATCAAAGTAACACAAGGCTCTCGTCGCAGTTAGAGAGAAACTTGGGGGCGGGTTGGTATCATTTATTAGAATGTTGCTTTAAATATTTAAATAAATGTTTATGTCCCACTGCTGGACAGTGGAGTTTCGGAGTTTTATGACAGACTTTTCATTTACAATGCGATTCAAATAAGAATAGGAACATCAGTGACCTCGAATGACCGCGATCTGTCAACTGTCACTCGAAAAGTACGGCTTTCAAAGAAAATTTATTTGCGTATGTATTAGTAACGTTTTTTTCCCCGCCTTATTTAACTGAGTCTTAGTATTACCAAATCTATTGAACTCATAATTATTTTTATAAATTAATTTATAATATTGATACTAGTCGGTGGAATATTTTAAATACCTTCATATGTAAATCCATCTTCTATTTTTATAAGGGAAATCAGATGTGATGATAATGATGACAATGCTGACTATTCAGTGATGCAGAGATGAGCGAAATTGAAATGCTAGATTCAGATTAATACTTTTTCGTTCATGGTTCTTTTGTAAATAAGTATTATTTCAAATATATCTCTGTTTTGCTCAACATACATTTTATGAAGACCATACATAACTGGTTTTGAATTGACAGCTATGACGTCACAATATGGCGCCAGGTCAGTCCTATTCTTATTTGAAATAGCATAGTGTTTGAAATATTTTTAATTTTTCCTACTGAAAATGTTTGACCATAATTTTACAATTTTTATAGCAATTTCTATTTAAGTCGTCAGATTTTTTCTGCTTAGGAGTCCGCCTGAATAGGTACCACCCTCATACATACCTATTTCTATCGCCAAATAGTAATGCTTGCACTGCTGTGTTCCGGTGTAAAGGGTATAGATAGCCAGTACAATTACAGGCTGTGAGGCATCCATCTTAGTTCTCAAGGTCACGACTCATATACAGTCTTTTTGTTTGTTGTTAAGCGCAGGTGTACATGCACTAGCCACTTACCATCAAGTGGACTATAAATTTATAAAAATTATATTAAGTAATTATAAGTCTAGAAATTTGTTTTGTATCATGCACGGTATTAACATTCATAATTTGCACATGGATAATCATATACCCTGGAAAATTACTTACAGGTCATACAAATACTCGTAGTTTATTTATATGGGCATTAAAACTGGCGGCCAACAGCGCCACGGATAAATGTTTAGCCACTATGCTAACTAAGCGGCTTATAAATAAATTCCTTTGAATTTTAATTACTCCTATATGGGGATTTTTTTAGATGACAACAACCTGAACTCCATCTTCTATGAACACTTGACCCGCTCACTGCAGCACTATCTTTGCGGTGATCTTATGCTGGGTCGATGGGGACAGGTGCAACAAGGAGATTGTTTCGGTAAGCAAAAAAATATTGTAAACTAGCTTTAACCCGCGACTTCGTCCACGTAAAACATTAAAAAACTTGCAGTTCACCATATTATTATGATAGTGGTATTTGGGCAAAAAGTCCAATTACCCGGAGACCCTTTTTACTGAAAACGTGGCATCCCATTGAGGTATTCATGGGTGATAGCGCATCTGCATTTTGATTCTTAATCGAGGATAGATGTAGATGTATGTTCTATGATCATTGGGCCGCAGCATCCACTTACCATCAGATAGAGTCAGTTTACAGAGTACTCAGAAGCCAGTTTATGCTATTATATGCTATTATCTCAAAGCAATGAATCCTTTAACACTTTAAGTTTGTTGCAAAATGGTATTAAAGCATAAAGTCGATTTAAAGAATGATATTTGAAGTGATATATGTATATATATATATATATATATATATATATATATATATATATATATATATATATATATATATATATATATATATATAAATATATATAAATGTATATATAAATGTATATATATGCACATATATATATATATATATATATATATATATATTACTCAGTACTTCACTATGAATCTTTCTTTTCAGTGCTCGCTTCTGATTACCTGAATTGCCTAGTGCATATCGTGGAGATGGGAAATGGACTGGTATCATTTCAACTACGAGGGCTGGAGTTTAGAGGGACTTACTGTCAACAGAGGGAAGTAGAGGCTATCTCGGAAGGACCGGAGGAAAGTAGTGGTAAGTGTATATTACCGTCTTATGTTAGTTTCCGGTGTGCCTCTAGGCTCACATTTAGAACCTGATTTATTTAAAGAATGCAAGGAATAAATAGTTTCTGCACTATCACTTTGATAAAAGCAGTTTTATGACCAGTAATGAAGGGTTAGTCGCTGCTGGTGCGGTGGGCGCGTGACTTGTCTGCTTGTGTGTGTGCGTGCGCGTGAGTGTGAGTGTACGTGTGAGTGTACGTATGCGTGTACGTGTGCGTGTGAGTGTGCGTGTGCGAGTGAGTGTAAGTGTGCGCGTGCGCGTGCGTGCGTACGTGCGTGCGTGCGTGCGTGCTTGCGTGCGTGCGTGCGTGAGTGCGTGCGTGCGTGCGTGAGTGCGTGCGTGCGTGCGTGCGTACGCGCGCGCGTGTGTGTGCGTGTGTATGTGGGCAGGCGCGTGCGAGTGCGTGTGAGCGTGAGTGTGAGTGTGAGTGTGCGTGTGAGTGTGCGTGTGCGAGTGAGTGTGAGTGTGCGTGTGCGTGAGCGTGTGCGTGCGTGCGTGCGTGCGTGCGTGCGTGCGTGCGTGCAAGCGCGTGTGTGTGTGTGTGGGCGGGCGCGTGCGAGTGCGTGTGAGTGTGAGTGTGCGTGTGAGTGTGAGTGTGAGTTTGCGTTTGCGTGTGCGTGCGTGCGTGCGTGCGTGTGTGCGTGTGTGAGCGGGTGCGTGCGCGTGCGTGTGAGTGTGAGTGTGCGTGTGAGTGTGAGAGTGAGGGTGCGTGTGCATGCGTGCGTGCGTGCGTGTGTGTGTGTATGTGCGTGCGCGCGCGCGTGTGTGTGTGTGTGTGTGTGTGTGGGCGGGCGTGTGGTCGCGCTGGTGGTGCGGCGGGCGCGTGTACATGTGCGTGTGTGTGTGCAGAGGGCGTGTGGTCGCGCTGGTGGTGCGGCGGGCGCGTGTACATGTGCGTGTGTGTGTGTGCAGAGGGCGTGTGGTCGCGCTGGTGGTGCGGCGGGCGCGTGTACATGTGCGTGTGTGTGTGCAGAGGGCGTGTGGTCGCGCTGGTGGTGCGGCGGGCGCGTGTACATGTGCGTGTGTGTGTGTGCAGAGGGCGTGTGGTCGCGCTGGTGGTGCGGCGGGCGCGTGTACATGTGCGTGTGTGTGTGCAGAGGGCGTGTGGTCGCGCTGGTGGTGCGGCGGGCGCGTGTACATGTGCGTGTGTGTGTGTGCAGAGGGCGTGTGGTCGCGCTGGTGGTGCGGCGGGCGCGTGTACATGTGCGTGTGTGTGTGTGCAGAGGGCGTGTGGTCGCGCTGGTGGTGCGGCGGGCGCGTGTACATGTGCGTGTGTGTGTGCAGAGGGCGTGTGGTCGCGCTGGTGGTGCGGCGGGCGCGTGTACATGTGCGTGTGTGTGTGTGCAGAGGGCGTGTGGTCGCGCTGGTGGTGCGGCGGGCGCGTGTACATGTGCGTGTGTGTGTGCAGAGGGCGTGTGGTCGCGCTGGTGGTGCGGCGGGCGCGTGTACATGTGCGTGTGTGTGTGCAGAGGGCGTGTGGTCGCGCTGGTGGTGCGGCGGGCGCGTGTACATGTGCGTGTGTGTGTGTGCAGAGGGCGTGTGGTCGCGCTGGTGGTGCGGCGGGCGCGTGTACATGTGCGTGTGTGTGTGCAGAGGGCGTGTGGTCGCGCTGGTGGTGCGGCGGGCGCGTGTACATGTGCGTGTGTGTGTGTGCAGAGGGCGTGTGGTCGCGCTGGTGGTGCGGCGGGCGCGTGTACATGTGCGTGTGTGTGTGTGCAGAGGGCGTGTGGTCGCGCTGGTGGTGCGGCGGGCGCGTGTACATGTGCGTGTGTGTGTGTGCAGAGGGCGTGTGGTCGCGCTGGTGGTGCGGCGGGCGCGTGTACATGTGCGTGTGTGTGTGTGCAGAGGGCGTGTGGTCGCGCTGGTGGTGCGGCGGGCGCGTGTACATGTGCGTGTGTGTGTGCAGAGGGCGTGTGGTCGCGCTGGTGGTGCGGCGGGCGCGTGTACATGTGCGTGTGTGTGTGTGCAGAGGGCGTGTGGTCGCGCTGGTGGTGCGGCGGGCGCGTGTACATGTGCGTGTGTGTGTGTGCAGAGGGCGTGTGGTCGCGCTGGTGGTGCGGCGGGCGCGTGTACATGTGCGTGTGTGTGTGTGCAGAGGGCGTGTGGTCGCGCTGGTGGTGCGGCGGGCGCGTGTACATGTGCGTGTGTGTGTGCAGAGGGCGTGTGGTCGCGCTGGTGGTGCGGCGGGCGCGTGTACATGTGCGTGTGTGTGTGTGCAGAGGGCGTGTGGTCGCGCTGGTGGTGCGGCGGGCGCGTGTACATGTGCGTGTGTGTGTGCAGAGGGCGTGTGGTCGCGCTGGTGGTGCGGCGGGCGCGTGTACATGTGCGTGTGTGTGTGTGCAGAGGGCGTGTGGTCGCGCTGGTGGTGCGGCGGGCGCGTGTACATGTGCGTGTGTGTGTGCAGAGGGCGTGTGGTCGCGCTGGTGGTGCGGCGGGCGCGTGTACATGTGCGTGTGTGTGTGTGCAGAGGGCGTGTGGTCGCGCTGGTGGTGCGGCGGGCGCGTGTACATGTGCGTGTGTGTGTGCAGAGGGCGTGTGGTCGCGCTGGTGGTGCGGCGGGCGCGTGTACATGTGCGTGTGTGTGTGTGCAGAGGGCGTGTGGTCGCGCTGGTGGTGCGGCGGGCGCGTGTACATGTGCGTGTGTGTGTGTGCAGAGGGCGTGTGGTCGCGCTGGTGGTGCGGCGGGCGCGTGTACATGTGCGTGTGTGTGTGTGCAGAGGGCGTGTGGTCGCGCTGGTGGTGCGGCGGGCGCGTGTACATGTGCGTGTGTGTGTGCAGAGAGCGTGTGGTCGCGCTGGTGGTGCGGCGGGCGCGTGTACATGTGCGTGTGTGTGTGTGCAGAGGGCGTGTGGTCGCGCTGGTGGTGCGGCGGGCGCGTGTACATGTGCGTGTGTGTGTGTGCAGAGGGCGTGTGGTCGCGCTGGTGGTGCGGCGGGCGCGTGTACATGTGCGTGTGTGTGTGCAGAGGGCGTGTGGTCGCGCTGGTGGTGCGGCGGGCGCGTGTACATGTGCGTGTGTGTGTGTGCAGAGGGCGTGTGGTCGCGCTGGTGGTGCGGCGGGCGCGTGTACATGTGCGTGTGTGTGTGCAGAGGGCGTGTGGTCGCGCTGGTGGTGCGGCGGGCGCGTGTACATGTGCGTGTGTGTGTGTGCAGAGGGCGTGTGGTCGCGCTGGTGGTGCGGCGGGCGCGTGTACATGTGCGTGTGTGTGTGCAGAGGGCGTGTGGTCGCGCTGGTGGTGCGGCGGGCGCGTGTACATGTGCGTGTGTGTGTGCAGAGGGCGTGTGGTCGCGCTGGTGGTGCGGCGGGCGCGTGTACATGTGCGTGTGTGTGTGCAGAGGGCGTGTGGTCGCGCTGGTGGTGCGGCGGGCGCGTGTACATGTGCGTGTGTGTGTGCAGAGGGCGTGTGGTCGCGCTGGTGGTGCGGCGGGCGCGTGTACATGTGCGTGTGTGTGTGCAGAGGGCGTGTGGTCGCGCTGGTGGTGCGGCGGGCGCGTGTACATGTGCGTGTGTGTGTGCAGAGGGCGTGTGGTCGCGCTGGTGGTGCGGCGGGCGCGTGTACATGTGCGTGTGTGTGTGCAGAGGGCGTGTGGTCGCGCTGGTGGTGCGGCGGGCGCGTGTACATGTGCGTGTGTGTGTGTGCAGAGGGCGTGTGGTCGCGCTGGTGGTGCGGCGGGCGCGTGTACATGTGCGTGTGTGTGTGCAGAGGGCGTGTGGTCGCGCTGGTGGTGCGGCGGGCGCGTGTACATGTGCGTGTGTGTGTGTGCAGAGGGCGTGTGGTCGCGCTGGTGGTGCGGCGGGCGCGTGTACATGTGCGTGTGTGTGTGCAGAGGGCGTGTGGTCGCGCTGGTGGTGCGGCGGGCGCGTGTACATGTGCGTGTGTGTGTGCAGAGGGCGTGTGGTCGCGCTGGTGGTGCGGCGGGCGCGTGTACATGTGCGTGTGTGTGTGCAGAGGGCGTGTGGTCGCGCTGGTGGTGCGGCGGGCGCGTGTACATGTGCGTGTGTGTGTGCAGAGGGCGTGTGGTCGCGCTGGTGGTGCGGCGGGCGCGTGTACATGTGCGTGTGTGTGTGCAGAGGGCGTGTGGTCGCGCTGGTGGTGCGGCGGGCGCGTGTACATGTGCGTGTGTGTGTGCAGAGGGCGTGTGGTCGCGCTGGTGGTGCGGCGGGCGCGTGTACATGTGCGTGTGTGTGTGCAGAGGGCGTGTGGTCGCGCTGGTGGTGCGGCGGGCGCGTGTACATGTGCGTGTGTGTGTGCAGAGGGCGTGTGGTCGCGCTGGTGGTGCGGCGGGCGCGTGTACATGTGCGTGTGTGTGTGCAGAGGGCGTGTGGTCGCGCTGGTGGTGCGGCGGGCGCGTGTACATGTGCGTGTGTGTGTGCAGAGGGCGTGTGGTCGCGCTGGTGGTGCGGCGGGCGCGTGTACATGTGCGTGTGTGTGTGCAGAGGGCGTGTGGTCGCGCTGGTGGTGCGGCGGGCGCGTGTACATGTGCGTGTGTGTGTGCAGAGGGCGTGTGGTCGCGCTGGTGGTGCGGCGGGCGGCTGCTGGCGCCGGGCGCGTGGTGGGCGCTGCGCTGGCTGGCCTGGCAGCTCGCCGCTGCGCGATACGTGCTCGAGGGTTACTCAGTCTCCGACAACAGCGCTGTCTCTATGCTGCAGGTCTTCGACTTCCGCAAGGTGCTGCTCACCTACTACGTCAAGGTAACTAAATAACTCTGCCTTCCTACAATATTGCTATTAAAAATAGTCAACTTTAAAAAAAAGTTTTATACAAATCTGGCACCATTGCTAGCTACTTTTTAAATCTTTTCATAACTTGTAATCAAGAAGCTATGCCAAAATTTTTACTAATTTAATCATTATACACATGAAATTATTAAAACATTGAATTTATTAAAGTACTTTATGGTACGTTGCTATGAAAATAATAAATAATAAATTCGATAACGTCCCCACACCACATTCACCATTTATACTTTATTATTGCATTGTTTCATCAATTTTGCTAATTAGGAAATATGAATATTCTACAATAGTACATTACGATACGATATTTAGGTAGCTGGTTAATATTCGCAAACACACAAACACTCACGCCTGTCACCCAGAGCAGTAGGCAGAGACTACGGACTTCCATTTGGTGCGATCCTGACACACCTCTTTCGCCTCCTTTACATCCATATATCTACGCATACACGCTCGTCGGTTAAGGGTACTCCTAATCTGGCCCATTTTTAATGTATCGCCGATTTGGTCGATAAACCTTCGTCTAGGGCGTCCCTTCCCAACCCTGCCGTTCACTTCTGCAACATAAATTTGCTTTGTCACTCTTTCCTCGTTCATTCTTTCTACATGACCAAACCACCGAAGCATTCCTTTCTTAATCCTTGTCACAACGTCATCTTGCACACCACACTTTTCTCTTATCACACTATTTCTCACCCTGTCATTCAGATTCAGCCCTAGCATACTCCTTAAGGACCCCATTTCTACAGCATTTATTCTACTCTCATGCTTCTTCTGCCATACCCAACTTTCACTACCATACATTAAAGTAAGGACTAACACAGCATTATGAATTGCCATACGTGCCTTATTTGACACATTCTGACTCCTCATAATAGCGTGTAGAGCCCCATTCATTCTATTTCCTGCGTTCACTCGTCGTTCTATATCCTTATCATATCTACCATCCCTGCTAAATAAACATCCCAAATATACAAACTCATCCACTTGCTCAATCAACTCCCCTTCTATTCTTATTTCACATAACGTTTTACTTTCTTCTCTTTCAAAAACCATCACTTTCGTCTTATTTGCGTTCACTTTCATACCCCTTTCTTTCAATGGCCAGTTCATTAAAGTAACCATCATTTGCAACTAGACCGCCGACGATGCAAATATGACTTGATCATCGGCGTACAAAAGGTATTTGACGGTTAACTCACCCATTCTCAACCCACATTCTTCAACTTTGAAACTTTGCAAACAACTGTCCATAAATGGGTTAAACAGCCACGGGGAAGCCACACATCCCTGTCTGACACCTTTATGAATGCCAAACCTATCAAGCCAGCGCTCAACCCAAATGAGTTCAGTGTTTGCCATAACATATTCCTGTCCACTCTGTCATAAGCCTTTTACAAGTCCATGAACGCACAAAAAACTTTCTGGTTTTTGGCCAAAAACTTCTCCGCAATCATGCGCATGGAAAAGACTTGATCCGTACACCCCATCCCCTTTCTAAATCCAGCTTGCACATCCCAAATTTTTCCATCAGTTACTTCCATAACTCTTTCAATTAACACCTTAGTATACAGTTTACTTACTTCAGTCTTCCGGTACCCGCTTCAGTTCCCAACATAAATTAAACAAGGTGCACAGCAGGCCTGCAAAAACACCCTCTCCAGCCCTTAGCATTTCGAGTGAATTTCTAACATATCCGGCTGCCTTACCTGCTTTCATTATTTCATCTACACTTATCTCCCTACCTCTCTCCACTTCTTCCGGAATTTCTTTTTCACTTACTTCAGACGACTCTTCACTCTTAAACACGCTTTCAAAGTATTCCTTCAATCTCTTTAAGTTCCAAACTTCATCATTCAGCATGCAGCCATTCTCGTCTCGTATAGCATTCATTCTAGGCTGTTTTGAATTTCCCCTGGCAGTTCTTACGAGCTTCCAGAACATTTTAATATTTGCCTGGAAGTTATCAGATATCTTTCTATCATTCTTATCTATCTTTTCTTGCTTTTTCCTTTCAACAACTTCTTTTACTGTCTTATTTATACGTCTAAAGTCTGCCTTTTTTCTTTCAATCTCATCATTCATACCGCCAGAATTACCAGCTTTGATTGCTAATAAATCTAGCCACGCTCTCCTCTTTGCTTCAACTTCCATCCGTACCTCATCATCCCACCACAACGTATTACTTTTTCTTTCATTCGTTCTCTTACTTACACCTCATACTTCGGTGACTGCATGCACTAAAACTTTCTTAATATTATTCCATACATTCTTCAAGTCATCATACATAATTTATTCAACCCACTTATATTTTCCCTCAGTCTGCATTTATACTTCTCTTTCACACCGGCATCTTGTAACCTCTCTATTCTTATACGCTATAACGCTGTGGTAGACACAGATGTCCGATGCCGCCAACGCCTGAATAGACCATTAATTCGGCATAAGACCAAGTAATGATTCGTCCCTACGTTGAACCCCCGGTAAACCCTTGTATCTACCACTGCGCTCCTCATTCTGTCATCCACAATTATGAAATCTATCATGCTTCTATCATCCCCTCTTTCCCATGTGTATACATGTGAATCCTCTTATGGCGAAAGAAAGTGTTCGCCACAAAAAGATACTTTTCCACACATACGGTGAGGAGGTCTTCACCATTCTCATTTATTCTTTCATCGCCAAACGTTCCTTATATTCTTTCATAACCAGACCTCTTCACCCCAACCCTTCCATTAAAATCTCCTAACATAATAATATTTTAATTTTCCTTACATTTCATCAACACCAGCCTTACCATGTCCCATAACTGCTCTCGGATATAAGTGGGCTTCGACATATCTGGGGCGTACACCCCTAGCACAAATAACTTCGTTAAGCCCACTTTCATTCGTATCCACAGCAGCCTTGGGCTTACACATTCATACTCTTTTACACATTGACCCATTCTTTCTGAAAGGATGACACCGACTCCCTGCCATGCCCGCTCGGTCTCCTCTACACCACACCAGTAAGTCTGTGCAGTGACATCTCTTCCCTTTCGTTTCGTCTCGTTTAAACATCACATCTATTCCTCTATCATTCATCATTTCGCATACTTCATCCATCTTATCATTCATTGCTCCACATACATTCAGCGTAGCCAGACGGGCCTCCACAATCCACTTTTCGCCCCTCCGGGAGACAGGACATTCCGTGTATCGTACATTATTTTATATTACAAGTGACTTAAAATCACTTTTTAATTGAAAAATTACACTGAATACAGAATGAATTATAAAGACATAATAAATACATTAAATAAAATAGATATTGGTGATTATAAAAGGTTGATGTTGTTTTTAAAGAAAAAGTCTACAGGATATAGATCTAAAAATCTCAAGTCAGTGTTCATTTGCACAAATCAAGAAAAACGTTATTTGAAATTAAAATTAAACAAATGTGTTCTTTCTGAGATTTCTAGATCTAAAATGTCCGAATCATGTCCGAATGAAGAAGTTTTATTAGTAAATGTAATTTGTAGAGCCATGCTGCAGCTATACTGGTATAGTTATAGCACGAACGAGTCGGCTCAACCAGGGAAGGACCACGCTCTCACAGAATGAATACCAGCGTTAAATAGAAGCCTAACGCTGCTGTGTTTAGTGTGGTGAGTGTAGAGAATTGGAAACCCTTTTTACTGGAAACGGAGTTTTCCATCTTAGTCCTCACGGATGACAACGCATCTGCATTTTGATTCATAAGAAAAATAAGATTTAACGTGGACTGTGTGCTAGTTTGTTACCTTTATCCTATAAAAAAATTCATTGAATCAAAAAGTTTCAGTACAAGAATTACGACATCCATCTAAACATTTAATTAAATAGGAACAAAGGTGCAACGAGACTAAGAGTTACAGGAATTTTGTATGATCCAGATATTGACTTATATGTAAATGATTTATCAAACCTGAATTCACAACGGTCTTATTTTTTAGCATTTGTAATGTGACGGTAAATGGTAGTAATAGTAATTGTGTTTTTAATAATTGTACTTTAAAAAATACAGTTCAAGCTAAAAATATTTTATACGTGGTAGAACCATGCTGCAGCTATATTAGTAGTATAGTTGTAGCACGAATGGGTCGGCTCGACCGGGGAAGGACCACGCTCTCACAAAATACCAGCGTAAAATAGCAGCATAACACTGCTGTGTTTCTTATGGTGAGTGTAGAGAACCAGAGACCCTTTTTACTGGAAAAGAGGCATTCCATCTTAGTCCTCACGGGTGACACGCATCTGCATTTTGATTCGCAAACGAGGATAGATGTAGATGTCTATGAGCCACAGCAACCACTTACCTTAGGTGGACTGTGTGCTCGTTTGTAACCCTATCCATAAAAAAAAATTTACAAGAAATTTAAATGACTTTATATCAAGTATTATTTTTATATTTCTTTATCAAATGATTTAATGTTTTGTTTGTAATTTCAAGTATTCTAATAGATAATATTAATTAAAGTTGTATTGTCCTGTATTTATTATTATGTTTAATAAAAGTTTAAATTTTTAAAAAATTATAATATATTATAAATTTTATGCGTGACTTAAGTAAAGCATACCATACAATAATCGGCTAGATAAGTCCCGCATGATCATGACTTAAACTTGGTTTTAAGTCACCGTGTACTATAAAGTATACAGTAAAGTAAATCTTTTTTTTACTTTTACATCTAGAATCCCTTTTTACGTCTGCGTGTATGTGTGTGCGGGTGTGCGTGAACGTATATATGCATGTGAATACGCGAGTGCGTGCATGTGCGTGCTGTGTGTGTATGTGTGTGTATTTGTGATTAAAAATATCCAGGAAGATGTTGTGTTTTACAAATAGCATTCAACTTTTTTACATAAGATGTGTAAGGTGCTTTATGTTCATAAGTGAATGTAGACGTACAAGTACTAAATAAAAAATTATGTTATTTACGTTAAATTATTATTTAAATACTAAATAAAAATTACCGAACAAAATTCGTGCATTAAGAAAATCTTTGTCATTATTTACAGAGCATAATCTACTACACAATCCAATCCAACAAACTAGAGGAGTGGCTCTCGTCACCTACAATAGCTGAGGCCCTGAAGCCGATGAGCGAACGAACGTTCGTCGATCTGGACCCAATTTTCAACGTAAATTTAGATGAAGATTACGATTTTAGAGCATCTGGGATCACTAGGTAAAACCTAAAATATACAATTCACTTACATTACAGAACAGCATGATTTAATTTTGAATATGAAAAAAACTTAAAACTTTCAAACTATTAGGAATATATTAGAAAATCGTTATTAATGTTTAGAATTAATTTTTTAATGATTAAAAATAAAAAATAATTTGTCAGAAGTGGGATTCGAACCCACGCCCACAGAAGTGGACTGCGACCTGAACGCAGCGCCTTAGACCGCTCGGCCATCCTGACGTGATTTATAGCATTGAAAATTGTGTTTAAAATACAAAACTTCATAATGATACGTATTTTCAAATTTTAATAAGGAGTTTAAATTAAGTGATATTAAATTATTATATAATTATACAATTCAAAATATATTTTTACTGTGCAATACATGTTTATAATGTATTCAATTTGTTATTACACGATAATTTTTATTTAGTCATAAATTATCTTTAATTAATTTGAGTGCCTTTTTGGTCTAGTGGGCAAGTATAACTCCGATTATGTGGTCCCAGGTTCGAACCACGGTCTTTCCCCGGTCGAGCTGACCATTCATGATATAATCATAATATAGCTGTAGCATGACTCTGCCATGTATAAGGCACAATCCTCTTACCTATTTCTGTTGCTAAATAGAACCGGAACATAGCAGTGAAAGCACTGCTACGTTCCGGTCTTAACGATATAGACAGCCAGTATAAAATCCCGTTGCTGTAGAAATCTTGGGATTTTTGATTAAAAAAATGCGACAAGCAGTTTTGACAGTCCTCTCTTGATATTAACCTAACACTAACCAAAGAATTCTGAAGAGACCGAAACAGGTGCAAATCTGGGGGTGCAGGGTCAGTCTATATGGTGGATGCATTAACACTTCCCAACCAAGCTCTCTCAATTTTTGCTTAATTGCCAAAAATGTGTCTGGTCTGGCGTTATGATGAAAGACCACTCCTTTTCTGTTGATCAATTCCGGCCATTTTTTCTAAATTTCTTGCTTGTGTAATTAGTTGTTAGCAGTAGAAATGGCATGTGTTGAGCTTGAGCACCTCATTCTTGTCAGTGTTTACAGACCCCCATGTTCAACATGGGGGTCTGTAAACACTGACACCGACTGACTGAGGTATGATACCTTTGAAAAAATTATGGAAGAAGTTTTAGTTAAGCTTAATAAACAGAATAAATATGAGGTTTCCCAATACGTTATTGTCAAATATTAGATCAAGATATTGTTTTCAGTTGCTTCTTTTTAAAATTTCTTTATGCACAGGAAATGTTTTGAATATTTAGGGTTCCGTACCTCAAAAGGAAAAAACGGAACCCTTATAGGATCACTTTGTTGTCCGTCTGTCTGTCTGTCTGTCTGTCAAGACCCTTTTTCTCAGGAACGCGTGGAGGTGTCAAGCTGAAATTCATATCAAATACTCATGTCTATTGTCCCTTAGAGCTGTGAAAAAATCAAACTTCTAAGCCAACGCAATCAAAAGATACAGCCGCTTATGCCGCACATTTTCGACATTCGCAAGGGAATCAAAACGTATAGGGTACTTCCCGTGAACTCAGAATCTTAAAATTTGGCACGAAGCAACGTATTATTAGCACAGATAAAGGAAAAATTGCAAAAACCATAAATTTTTAGTTATATACCTACGGATTTGTTCGGAACCTCCGGTGCGCAAGTCCGACTCGCACTTGGCCGGTTTTTTTTGTTTGTTTTGGCACTTAATATAATTATAAACCAAACAAAAAGTCCGTTTTGTGCTTGTGTAATGATTTCAGTTATATTATGACCAGAATAAAATAAACACGTCAATTGTCCTGCTAAGTTTAACTAATTTTATTTATTAATATATATAAAAAATAAAAGAGGTCCAATTGTGGAACCTTGGGGAACGCCAAAATTAAGGGATTGCATGCTACTAATGCTGGAACCAATTTTTACAATTTGATGCCTATTTGTTACATAGAACTTTAAAATTTTATATGCTTTCCGAGACACTGATGGAATTAAGTTTTTTAAGTAGAATTTCATGAGATAGTATCGAAAGCTTGTATCAAGTCAATAAATATACCAAGAACAATATTTTTACGATCGATGCCAATTTTGATATTTGTAGCAAGGTCTGTATCAGCGGCGAGTGTATTAGATGTTGGTCTAAAACCGAACTGTCTCTTATATAAATAATCAATATCATTTACATAATTTTCTATCCTATTATACATAACTCCAAGTGCCAATTTCAAAGCATTTATAGTCACATCACTATTAATTCTTTAACACATTTGATACATTTTGTGGTTATGCCGTCTATGCCTGAGCTAGTGTTAACGTCTAGTTCATCGATTATTTTATTAATATCCTTAATAGTACATGATTTGTTTGAAATTGAGGAATTTTTTATACTTGGTAGTGTATGAGTCAGATTTTATAATACTTCGGTGTCATTTAGTCCGCCAATAATTTACCTACTGACGTAAAGAAAGTATTCAACGTTTCACATATCTCGACTAGATCCTTTATAACTTGTTTGGTGTGTAATTTGTTAGTACCTAACCATTTATAAGTGACCACATCCTTTTGGGCTTATTTTTGCAATTAGTAACTATAGTAGTGTTTTCTTTTTCTGTCTTGATTAAGTCTTGTTAAATGTTGGTTCTTTATTACTTTACTTGTGGGGTGATTAGATTTCACTATGTTCTTCGTCCTCGGTTGGTAGGTTTGATATTTTTGTTTTAGTCGTTTTGTTACTTTCAATTTGCTTTTACATAAAATCTTCATGTTCGCAAAATTCTGAGTTTGAGGTTTTGAAATTTTCACTTCTGAAATGCGATAGCTTGCTTATGTAAATTGTTTTTAAAGCTTTTAACTGTACATTTCACCAAGGTAACTTAAAATTCTAATAAATACCGGTGAAAAAACAACCAGCTCTTGTGTGACTAATAGTATCGCTCTTGCAATTTCGAGACTGTTCGTACCCATGCTTACTGTTCATACTCGTTAAGCTTGTCTCTCTATAGCCTGTTTATGTATATTTTAAGGGACCACATCGTTCACTTACAATCAGGTGGAATGCGTGCTCTTTTGTCACACATTTATATAAAAAAAGTTGTCTAACATAGTCCTTAGTGTTAAAAAAAGAGTAGATGTATCGTAATCCATGGTGTTGGTGTCTAGGAGCCGGTTCTGCGCGGTGTATCAAGAGTGGGTGGTGCAGTGCTGTGCGCGGCGCGGCGCTGCGTGGAGGCGGCGAGCTGGCGCGCGCGACTCGCCGCTGCTCACGCTCTGCTTCGCGCTCAGCCTGCTGGGCCGCCGGGCGCTCGCCGCCGCACAGCACCTCTCCGCCTCCAGGTGACGTGACGTCACGCGTCCTACAGTTGTACTGCGCACACGCACACATGTACACACGCGCACGCGCGCGACTCGCCGCTGCTCACGCTCTGCTTCGCGCTCAGCCTGCTGGGCCGCCGGGCGCTCGCCGCCGCACAGCACCTCTCCGCCTCCAGGTGACGTGACGTCACGCGTCCTACAGTTGTACTGCGCACACGCACACATGTACACACGCGCACGCGCGCGACTCGCCGCTGCTCACGCTCTGCTTCGCGCTCAGCCTGCTGGGCCGCCGGGCGCTCGCCGCCGCACAGCACCTCTCCGCCTCCAGGTGACGTGACGTCACGCGTCCTACAGTTGTACTGCGCACACGCACACATGTACACACGCGCACGCGCGCGACTCGCCGCTGCTCACGCTCTGCTTCGCGCTCAGCCTGCTGGGCCGCCGGGCGCTCGCCGCCGCACAGCACCTCTCCGCCTCCAGGTGACGTGACGTCACGCGTCCTACAGTTGTACTGTGTACTCGCAACACATGCACACATGTACGAGTAAACACGCACAAATACGCTCTTGCCCGTACATACGACTGTACACACGCACGCAAACACGCACGTGCTGTGTTTGATTCACATCTACCAGCACGTAACGTCGCACGTGCGTTGACGATACCGTCACACTATATTGTTTTCTTTGGTAACGGACTCGTAGTGTTTGTTGTACCTTTGCCAGTGTCAATTTATAAGAAATTACTGTTATATTCATTTGTTTAAAACTTCTTCACAACATGTTTATGCGTCACATTACGAAGTTTTTAGGAAATATAGCCTAGATGATTCCTGACATTGTTCTCTATCTGACAGTGAACATTCATTACAATCAGCTCAGCCATTCTGAAGATTATCCCGAACAGGCAAACAGGCAGGCAAACATTTTAAAAATATGAGTCTAACCCTTTGATCTCAATATAAGGCCGGTATTTTGATATTACATACAGACACTTTTATTTATATGTATCAGATGTTGTCTTTTTTTATTTGTTAATCCAAACAATTTAGTTCTATGGCCACTACCCACATAATAAATGAAAAATAATTTGTTGCAGTGTGGAGTTCTTTCTGTACGGTCTACACTCGCTGTTCAAAGGCGACTTTCGTATCACTTGCGCGCGAGACGAATGGGTTTTCACCGACATGTCGCTGTTGCAGTCTGTGCTCGCGCCAGCTATTAGGATGGCGCTTAAGTTGCACCAGGTTCGTACTTTTTGAGCTTTTATATTGATTGTGTGTCAAAATTTACATTTTAGCTAACGTCAATATTTTACGATAAATAAAGATTATTAATTATTTGATCTATAATTAAAAAATACCTTACGTTAACCGCGTTTTCACCTTAACCGCAATGGACAAGAACTCATTAAGATACCTTTATATCTTCTATCTTATTTTTATTATTTTAATAAACTGTCTCAACAGAAACTTTTTAAATTATTATTAAACATTCGCCCACTGAAACAGAAACCGGCGGCTGAGATTTTATATAATATGACCTATTTAAAATTGTATTATCATACTGGTTTTGCTTGTAAACGTAATACAAATATTATTATAGTTTGATAAATCAGCGGTGCGATTTTTTTTATAGAATAACGGTGACATACAAGCACATAGTCCACCTGATGGTCAGGGGATGTTGTGGCCATAGACATCTACATCTAACCTCGATTAAGAATCAAATATTGCAATTTGATTCTTAAGAATCAAAAATTGCAATTTTATTGAAATTTGATTAAAAATAGAATCAAATATTGCAATTTGATTCTTAATCGAGGATAGATGTAGATGTCTATGGCCACAACATCCCCTGACCATCAGGTGGACTATCCCCTGATCATTACCTAAACACTAAAATACCTCGTTACCAGTTCAATTCTCCGGTTTTCTACACAGCATTATGCTAATATTTACGCTGGTATTATGTGAGAGCGTGCTCCTTCTCGGTTGATTCCATCCATTCGTGCTACAACCTTTACATAGCTGCACCGTGGCTCTACTACGTATAAAAGTAAAAAAAAGATTAAGTAACTCTAGTGGGAATAGTTATATTACCATATTAAAAAAACTTAACGTAGTTGCGGAGTGATTCCCATTAGTAAACGATTCCCGCCAAAGTCCTCAGATGGTTCTACCACGAAAAAAAATTTGTTGCTATCGGAAAGATGCTGCTGCCCTTCATGTTTTAATTCCTTCTGATGGTTCTCATTCACGGAATTATATGGTACAGTATAAGTAAATACTGTTACGAGCGTGGGATTCGAGACAATTAAAAACTGCCGATTAAATTACCAAAATTGATACGTTAATTACAGAACACTAATTATATAATATAATAATACTGATTAAAACCACACTAATAATAATACACAATTGTACTACTGATCACTTTAGTTCGCAGTTGTATTGCTTCGAAGTGTTCGATTATATCGCCAATTCAATACTGCCCCGGTCGCGGTCTATACCGGCGTTATATAGGGCTTCAGATAGTTTCCAGAACCTTCTGCTATGAAAACATCTAGAACGTTCGAGTACATATCGGTCCCGATTGACTAGGTGTCGATAGTTCCAGAAAGTTCTTCCATGGAAATTCCTAGAATGTTCTTGACTCTCCTAGTTCTGCTACTCGATACTAGAGAGCGCTAGTGGTAACTAGTGTTGCCATGTACCTTCACTTAATTGTGGCGCGCAACACTGCCCCCTCCTAAGACATGCTCGTCCCGAGCATTATTGGCTCCATAATAACGCGCCAGTTGATCCACATGGACGATTTTAGGAGTACCTCTAGCACCTTTCTGTATCCGGTAGGTTACATCATTGTATCCTTGCCGCAATCCGGTACGGTCCGTCCCATTTAGCTTGAAGCTTAGGAGATTTCCCTTTGCTGCGAACTAGATTGTGCAACCACACTAGTGAAGCTCGTCGAAGCCAGTCCCGTTGCCGATTTTGCACAACTTTTGCTAGGTACCTCTCCAATGTCTGATTAAATCGTTCTACCATTTCATCAGATTGTGGGCGGTAAGAAGTTGTTCTTGTTTTATGAGTACCCATAACTTGGCAAGTTTTCTGGAATATTTGAGACTCAAAATTTCTTCCTTGGTCGCTGTGAATCTCTAAATGTACTCCAAAACGACAGAAGACCTCATGAACTAGTTTAGCTGCTACTGTTGAAGCTTCTTGATTTGGAATGGCGAAGACTTCTAGCCACTTAGTAAAGTAATCCATCACAACCATGAAATACTTGTTACCACTTTCACTTTCCGGAAACGGCCCCGCAACGTCAAGGGCTATCCTCTCCCATGTTGCACCAATATTGTACAATTTTAATGCACCTCTACTACGTGTCTGAGGTCCCTTTACAGCCGCACAACTTGTACATTTGCGACACCAGTCCACGACATCGTCACGACAGTGGACCTAGTAAAACCGTTCGCGGATCTTCAGTAGAATTCGTTTAACTCCCAGATGGCCTCCTGAACAACCATTATGCTACAGCTGTAGAACATCCGATACTTAAGATTTAGGGATAACCATTTGCAAATGGCAATTGTCTCTCCCGACCATTTTCCCATTTACGGCACAGGACTCCATTCTGAATCGGCAAGCTGTCCCATTGGGCCCAATAGCTTTTCGTGGTCGAACTCATCGCTGAGACGTCGCTCCACTTGGTCTTAGGAGCACTGGTCTTCATCCATTCCAGAATCGGCTTGATGTCCGAATCTTCCTGCTGTGCATGTCGTAGGCTGTCCTTCCACTCATTACTGAGCTGGTCTGTCCTGAGCATCCTCACAGATACCACTTCCTTACCCTCTTGCATAGTACAATGCTTGCAATCTTCAGGACAAGGTCTTCTTGACGATGCATCTTCGTTGCCATGAGAGTTCCCGCTGCGATGTTCGATCACAAAGTCGTATTCCTGTAGTAGTTCAATCCATCTCGCAACTTGTTCTTCTGGATTTTTGAACTGTAATAGCCATTTCAGTGCAGCATGGTCAGTTCGTAAGTGAAATTTCCGCCCCAGAAGATATTTGCTAAAATGCTGCAATGTTTTTACCACAGCAAGCAATTCCCGTCTTGTGACACAATAGTGCCGTGTAGTGGCAGTTAAGAATATCCACTGCATGCGGCGGGACTTACGCAACATCAATACAGCTCGTATTGAAGAAGCGATCGAGCGGAACCAAGGCTCCAAAGTCTTTGCCAGAGATCTGTCTGCCAGAAAGAACCAACTGTCAAAGCTGAAGACAGAGTTTGGCAGCATCGTTTCCGGGGCACCTGATATTTTGAGTGAGATTGAGAGGTTCTATGGTTCTGTACACGTCATCGTTGGAGCCACACGCGAGTGTGAGTAACGTTCCAAGAGCGAGTCTTATCCGACATTATTCCGATGATATCCCGGACGTCAGTCTGAGCGAGATTAGAATGGCCCTCCAGCACCTTAAAAACGGCAAAGCCCCAGGCGAGGATGGAATTACAGCGGAGCTTCTGAAAGCGGGTGGAAAACCGGTACTTGAAGTCCTTCAGAGGCTCTTTAATTCCGTCCTCCATGGTGGCATTACACCGGAGGCGTGGAGCAGAAGTGCGGTGGTCTTGTTCTTCAAGAAAGGCGACAACGCTCTCTTGAAGAACTACAGACCGATTTCCCTTCTGAGCCGCGTCTACGTGCTGTTTTCGAGAGTCATTACGAATCGTCTCGCGCGCAGACTTGACGACTTCCAGCCCCCCAACAAGCCGGTTTCCGGAAAGGCTTTAGCACCATAGACCACATACATACCCTTCGGAAAATTGTACAAAAGTCAGAGGAGTACAATTTGCCACTATGTCTGGCGTATGTGGACTATGAGAAAGCCTTTGATTCCGTCGAAATTTGGGCGGTGCTGCAGTCCCTTCTGCGGTGCCAAGTGGACTTTCGGTATATCGAAGTGCTGAAGTTGTTGTACAGTAAGGCTACGATGGCTATCCGAGTACAGAACCAGAGTACGAAACCTATCCATTTGCAGACAGGGTGACGTCATATCCCCGAAACTCTTCACCGCTGCATTGGAAGACGTTTTCAAGCTTCTGGACTGGAAAGGATACGGTATTAACATCAATGGCGAGTACATCACTCACCTTCGATTTGCCGACGACATAGTCCTTATGGCAGAATCGCTGGAGGACCTAAGCACTATGCTCAATGACCTCAATAGTGCTTCCCAACGGATAGGTCTTAAGATGAACATGGACAAAACAAAGATCATGTTTAATGTCCATGTCACACCTATGCCGGTACTTGTTGAGACCACTAAGCTCGAAGTTGTTGACGAGTATGTTTACCTGGGACAAATAGTCCGACTAGGTAAGTCCAACTTCGACCGAGAGGTCAATCGACGGATTCAACTCGGTTGGGCAGCGTTCGGGAAATTACGGTACATCTTCTCCTCAGGTATACCTCAAAACTTGAAAACGAGACTGTACAACCAGTGCGTGTTGCCAGTGATGACATACGGAACTGAGACGTGGTCCTTCCCTGCTGGCCGGATGAGGAAGGTCAAGGTCGCTCAGCGAGCTATGGAGAGGGCTATGCTCGGAGTTTCTCTGCGTGATAAACTCAGAAATGAGGATATTCGCAGTAGAACCAGAGTGACCGACATAGCCCAACGGATTAGTAAGCTGAAGTGGCAATGGGCCGGCCATATAGCTCGAAGAACCGACAACCGATGGGGATGAAAGGTTCTCGAGTGGCAGCCTCGTACCGGCAGGCGAAGTGTTGGGCGTCCCCCCACTAGATGGAGTGACGACCTGGTAAGATATGCAGGAAGTCGATGGATGCAGGTGGCTCAGGACCGTGCTTTGTGGCATTCCTTGGGGGAGGCCTATGTTCAGCAGTGGACTTGTGAAGGGCTGTAATGATGATGATGATGACACAATAGTTCTTTTCCGACTTTGACAACGACTTGATGAAGTACGCTATCACAACCTCTTGATCACCATTCCGTTGAGACAACACACCGTCAAGTCCTATATCACTTGCGTTTGTGTCAACTATAAATTCCTTGCCCGCATCAGGGTACCCCAAAATAGGTGTTTTGCACAGACGGTCCTTGAGCTCCTGGAATGCGATATCGCAACTTCCATCGCAGCAGAAATGACGCTTCTCCGCGGTTATCTGCAAAGTTCTTTACAAATCGTTTATAATAGGAGCACAAACCCATAAATGCTCTAACCTGCGTCTTCTCTTTTGGCACCGGCCAACAGGAACAGGCTTGACAGAGGCAATTTTCTCTGGATCCGTGCGGATATCTTCTTCCGACACTACATACCCCAAAAAGCTAACTTGACGTTTGAATAGTGAACATTTCTTCGGACTCAACTTGAGGTTGGCACTCTGGATCTTAATGAGCACTCCTTCCAGGTTTTGAAGTGTTCCTCAAACGTACAGCCTACAATGATGATGTCATCTAAGTAGACCAGACATGCATCGCCAATTAGCCCGGTAAGTACAAGCTCCATCAACCTTTCAAACATTGCTGGATCATTGCACAATCCAAACGGCGTAACTTTAAATTGCCACAATCTCTTTCCTGTCGAGAACGCAGTTTTCTCCTTGTCCTTAGGGTCAATTTCAACCTGCCAGTAGCCACTTTTCAGGTCCAGCGTGCTAAACCATTTTACTTGTCTTGTTATTCTTGGCAAGGGATAGCTGTCCTTCTTCGTAACGTCGTTCAGACGGCGGTAGTCAACACAAAACCGCATGCTGCCGTCCTTCTTCTTTACCAGTAACACAGGTAAACACCATGGACTAGATGAAGGTTCAATAAGACCATCCTTCACCATTCTCTTAATCATGGTTTCCAGTTCCTTTTCATGTGCTACAGGCAATTCTTGGCCGCTGACGGATAGGCAATTCTTCTTCTGTGTTTATTTTGTGTTGAACAAAGCCAGTCTTTCCTATGTCAGCATCGTTTGACGAGAAAAAATCGACCTACTTGAATAACAACTTCTTCGCCTTGACAATTTCATTCGGGGAGAGAACGCTGCGATAGTCTTCTAAAAGTGTCAACACTCTCTTTTTTGCATCCTTGCTGGGGGTCCCAGTCGATAAATATTGGCACCGACGCAACCAATCCACTTCCACACTAGTACCAACCAGTGTGCCTTTTTCTATAATCTGTCCCTGATCACAAAGGTTCAGCACACGTACTCCTGAGATGTCGGTGGTTCTAACCAAGGTTCGAGCTACTTTCCATGGAAGGTCATTGTCTATCCTTTCCACGAGTACACAACGATGAGCTTCCCCAGGATTCCGAGGAAGACTAACCGGCAGAATGGTTTCCGATCTCGGCGGAAGAACAATCTTCTTAAGGCTGTACACATTCCCTGGTAACGCCCCTTCCAGAAAAAGTTCCTCTTGTCCACATTTCAAAACACCTTGCTAAACGTCGATCTGTCGAAGATGGCCCCTTTGCCCACAGCCGTAGCACTTAGGGCTGTATCCTTTATTGCGGTCGCGAACTGTAGCTGCTGCAACCTCCCTGACGCGATAGGAACGATGATCCTGCCGCACGGCTTCCACCTACAGTGCATGGGTCAAGGCGTCCTTAAACGTCTCGTGGTGCCCGAGCCTCACAGCAGCTCTGACTTCAAGGTCGCGGATGCCGTCGAGGAATGTCTGCACCAGGTCCCCAAACAATGAGCGCAGGTACAGACTGATATGCTTTTCGAAGCAGCTTCTCCACCTCAAGGGCCCACTGCTGCAGGTTTTCGTTACTGCGTTGCACGCGATCTTTGAGCTATATAATATTTTGTCGTCAGGACCACTTCATGTTTCCTGAAGAGTACTGCAGCCCCGCCGCATTATACGCGGCGATCTCGACGCACGCTCAGCGCCTCGTCATCTGCCATGAGGCAGCGCCCGCCTGGCGCTACAACGTGCTGCGCGGCGCTCCGCACCTGCTGGCGCTCCGGTGAGTGAGTGAGTGTGTGAGCGGTCATCTCGTCGCACGTTCAGCGCCTTGCCATCTGCGACGAGGCAGCGCCCGCCTGGCGCTACAACGTGTTGTGCGGCATCCCGCACCTGCTGCGCTCCACACCTGCTGGCGCTCCGGTGAGTGAGTGAGTGAGTGAGCGGTCATCCTGTTGCACGCTAAGCGCCTCGTCATCTGCCATGAGGCGGCGCCCGCCTGACGTTACAACGTGCTGCGCGGCGCACCGCACCTGCTGGCGCTCCGGTGAGTGAGTGAGTGAGTGAGCGGTCATCTTGTTGCACGATAAGCGCTTCGTCGTCTGCCATGAGTCGGTGCCGGCCTAGCGCTACGACGTGCTGTGCGGCGCTCCGCACCTGCTGGTGCTCTGGTGAGTGAGTCAGTGCGTGAGTGAGCGGTCATCTTGTTGCACGTTAAGCGCCTCGTCATCTGCCATGAGGCGGCGCCCGTCTGGCGCTACAACGTGCTCCGCGGCGCTCCGCACCTGCTGGCGCTCCGGTGAGTGAGTGAGTGAGTGAGTGAGCGAGCGGTCATCTCGTCACACGCATGGTTCAATCCATGTATTAACTACTACACAGTAACGCTACTAAACTAAAGGCCACCTGAGTTTTCATCAAACATATTGTGTTCAGTTCAATCCTAAAGAATTAGATTTACTGACTTTACTAAACGTCAACTTTCATAACTATGTCGTTACACCTTCTTGCAGAAAGCATTTGAGCAGCGAGTTGGTGTGCAATATGAAACGAATCGTCCCTTTGACAATTCCTTTTTGATAATCCGACGATAGTATTTTCAATCAACATAGAATATTGGCTTAATTTTCATTAAACGTATTTTTTTTTCAGGCACGTTATGGACGAAGGTAACGACGACTACAAAATAATCATGCTAAACAAGCGCCACCTTGGATTTCGCGTGATCAAACTGAATCGCGAATGCGTTCGGGGATTGTGGGCCGGTCAACAACAGGAGTTGGTTTACTTAAGAAATAGGAATCCGGAGAGGGGATCCATACAGAACGCTAAACAAGTAAGTCATATTCATATGACGCATAATTAAATATATACAGCATGTTACAAAAGTTCTGCATTGGCCGGGGAGTAAGAGTATTGTCAAAGACCTAGCTTTACTCATGCGCGTGTCCAATAAAAACAATTTGCATATAAATATTTAAATTAAAATTAACTTTTCTGTGGTCGAGTTTTCTGAAGTAAAGTTATTACTAAACGTTTGAATACTGATTCTTATAACGCGCCTAACGGGAACCACAGGATTTTTGTTATATGTTGTATTTTTTAATAATTTTGCTATAAAATTAAATTAGATCCATGGCTCTTGAATATTTACTCAATAGTATATTACTGCTGAACATAGACTTCCCTCCTAAACTGCCTCATAGGGGCGTATTTGTCATATTTGCCACGCTTGGCAAGCAGTTTGGCAACCACAGTTTTTATTATTTTTATGCCATTAGTCGCCTCTTACGACTCCCCGAGATGATATGTGGTAGTGGATCTATTACGACGCTACTAAACGGCTTCCTTTACTAAATCGATAAAATATTTTACGAAATCTTAATTAAAGGAACATCGTTTTAAAGACAAATGGTAAAATTAAAAATTTTATACAATCGATTTCAATATAAATAAAATGAAAAAGTCAATTAAATACGCATTGTTAAAGATAACTCAAAAACTATATTATCTTCTTGATCAAATGTATGGGAATATATTTGTACACGCCCCTAGTTGCCCCGATAAAAGTCGACTAACCCGGGGCCCATAGCTGAACACTCGACGAGCAACCAAGGGTGGAGCCCTAATGGCCTATGGATATGTAGTATATAAGGCTAGGTAATTAATACGAACTTACCTGGTTCCGAATCAAGGACTGACCCCAAGGTGCTGTTAGGCGTTAAGTATGTGCTTGTAAGTATTGTGTAGTAGTGTGTAAAATATAACCTGACTTGACCGTTGAAGTCTGACCGCAGATCCACAAGCGCTGCTTCTCTCCAAAGGTGAGAGATCTCAAGGGGGGGCGATCACCAATTGAAAACTTCTGCTTTTATTTCACTATTTCAGTCTATCAACTTTATTGTACATTTAATTAACTTCAAACTCAAGGATAAGCCTCGTTAATCGTACTCAAACACGTGACACACGGCACAACTAATGAACGTCGATCAAAGTTCAATATTCAAAGTTCTGGGTTCACCCAGCACAGAACCACAAACACGGGAACGAACGCGTTCTCTTCTTGAGTCACAAAGTTAGCGTTCAGCATGACAAGCTAAAATTCTTTCGTGCGATATTAACAGGCCACACAAGCAAATTAAATATTGCAAATGCGCTTCAAAATGTAATCACTTTACAAATTGACGTGAATTACTTGTAAACAAAGGTAAGTTAATCATTAAACTCAATAAAAGGGCCTCGTTATCCCTTAAAACGCTCCAAAAAAAACAACTCAATTCGAGGCGATTTTAAAGAAAACCAAATCTTCGATAGTAAATTAGACGCGCACAATTACTCAAATTCTAGACCATCAAAACCAACACTGGTCGCGCGCAACCAACCCAGGTCGCAAAACAATACAAACTAGTCGACAAAGCCGCGGCGGTCAAGCTACTGTCCTCGGCCCACCCGGGCGAACGCCGGGAGCGGCATACCGCCGCCCCCCCCCCCCGGCGGGGGGGGGGGCGGCGGTATATTCAACAATATTGAACCACATGAAAAGAACCAGCTTTCAATTAAAAAGAGAATCATCAAAATCGGTTCAACTAGAAAAAAGTTCTGACGTTGTACACGCCCCTAGTTGCCCCAACAAAGGTCGACTGAACCAGGGCCCATGAGTGGTCCCCTCGACGAGCAACCAAGGGCGGAGCCCGAATGGCCTATGGATAAACGTTATAAATAAGTTACAAAAACGGCTGACAAATAAGCAAGCACTTACCATCTCCGGAGGCAGGGTTGACCACAGGGTACCGGTCAGGTGATAAGTGATGTGCATGTAAAGTGGTGTGTAGTAGTGTATACCATGTAACCTGACTTGACCGTTGAAGTCTGACCGCAGATCCACAGGCGCTGCCTCTCTCCAAAAGTGAGATCTCTCAAGGGGGGCGATCACCAATTGAAACTTCTGTCTTCATTTCACGATTTCAGTGTATCAACTTTATTGTACATTTAATTAACTTCAAACTCAAGGATAAGCCTCGTTAATCGTACTCAAACACGTTACACGCGGCACAAGTAATGAACGGTCGATCAAAGTTTAACTTCCGTTTTCACTTAGCAACAAATTATTTCTAGAAACCGAACGCGACCTTCTATCGGGTCACAAAGTTCCGCGTTCCACCTAACAAACTAAATTCTTTCGTACGATATTAAATACCACACCCGCAATCGGAACTCAAAGTCGGCCTCGTTGACACGTAAAAACGATCAAATAGTCAACACACAAAAAGGCACTTAACGCGACGTTACAATTCGACATTAACTTCCAAGAACAATTAACCGGGCCACACGAGCAAATTAAATATTGCAAATGCACTTCAAAATGCAATCACAATTTACAAATTGACGTTAATTACTTGCAAACAACCGTGTAGTGACAGTGTAAGAATATCACTACCCCATATCGTCCCGTGGGTGTCGTAAAAGGCGACAAAGGGAAACAGGCAGGAGATGGGCAGCAGCATCTTCCTGATAACAGCAAAAATATAATAAAAAATTGCGGTTGCCAACCCGCTCGCCAAGCGTGGCAACTATGGCAAATACCCCCCAAATGGATAAAGTTACTAAGAGACAGCCCCCAGTCCCCGGCGGCCCCGCTATTCCTGGCTACGGTGGCGACCATGGTAACGGCGGGGCAAGGGTGCTAAGAATCTCCGGTGGAGGTGCGGTTGCCACCTACGACGACTCGACCTGGCAACATACAACGCACGCACCTTGAGGACTGACGAGAAGATTGTGGAGCTGGAAGAAGACATTGAGAGTGTGTCGACGAGTGTTGCGTACCTTATATTCAGAATCACCAAACAGTATTCGCTGAAGGTCATACAGGTTTACGCACCAACCTCGGCACACCCCGATGAGGAGGTGGAGGAAATGTATGAGGATATCTCTAGAGCCATGCATTCCTCTAAAACCCAATATACGGTGTTAATGGGAGACAATGCAAAACTAGGCACAAGAGAGAATAGTGAGCTGAAAGTAGGGAAATTTGGAATAGGGCAACGGAACCCAAGGGGTCAGCAGCTGGCCGACTTCATGGAGAAAGAGGGACTCTTTATGACCCGAAACCTTTCAGCTCGAGTTACAAAACCGTTTTCAGTGCCTAAAAGACTGCAATGAAGTGGACGATATGAATGACAAGCTCGTGGAAACTGTCCATGCGGTCGGAGCTAAGTTCTGCAAGACCCGCCGCAGAAGAACACAAAAACTCTCCGATCACACTCTTAATCTCATGGCTGTTAGACGGAGATGAAGCTACTTTCTTCAACAGATTTGACGGCATGCAGGCAACTGAACAGACAGATCTCCAAATGCATGCGGCTGGACTTACGCAACTTCAATACAGCTCGTATTGAAGAAGCGATCGAGCGGAACCAAGGCTCCAAAGCCTTTGCCAGAGATCTGTCTGCCAGAAAGAGCCAACTGTCAAAGCTGAAGACAGAATGTGGCAGCATCGTTTCCGGGGCACCTGAAATTTTGAGTGAGATTGAGAGGTTCTATGGGCAGCTGTACATTATCCCGATGATATCCCGGACGTCAGTCTGAGCGAGATTAGAATGGCTATCCAGCACCTTAAAAACGGCAAAGCCCCAGGCGAGGATGGAATTATGCGGAGTTTCTGAAAGCGGGTGGAAAACCGGTACTTGAAGTCCTTCAGAGGCTCTTTAATTCCGTCCTTCATGGTGGCATTACACCGGAGGCGTGGAGCAGAAGTGCGGTGGTCTTGTTCTTCAAGAAAGGCGACAACGCTCTCTTGAAGAACTACAGACCGATTTCCCTTCTGAGCCGCGTCTACGTGCTGTTTTCGAGAGTCATTACGAATCGTCTCGCGCGCAGACTTGACGACTTCCAGCCTCCCGAAGCCGGTTTCCGAAAAGGCTTTACCACCATAGACCACATACATACCCTTCGGCAAATTGTACAAAAGTCAGAGGAGTACAATTTGCCACTATGTCTGGCATATGTGGACTATGAGAAAGCCTTAGTTTCCGTCGAAATTTGGGCGGTGCTGCAGTCCCTTCAGCGGTGCCAAGTGGACTGTCGGTATATCAAAGTGCTGAAGTGCTTGTACAGTAGGGCTACGATGGCTATCCGAGTACAGAATCAGACTACGAAACCTACCCAATTGCAGAGAGGCGTAAGACAGGGTGACGTCATATCCCCGAAACTCTTCTCCGCTGCATTGGAAGACGTTTACAAGCTTCTGGACTGGAAAGGATACGGTATCAACATCAATGGCGAGTACATCACTCACCTTCGATTTGCCGACGATATAGTCCTTATGGCGGAATCGCTGGAGGACCTAAGCACTATGCTCAATGACCTTAATAGTGCTTCCCAACGGATAGGTCTTAAGATGAACATGGACAAAACAAAGGTCATGTCTAATGTCCATGTCACACCTATGCCGGTACTTGTTGGAGCACTAAGCTCGAAGTTATTGACGAGTATGTTTACCTGGGACAAATAGTCCGACTAGGTAAGTCCAACTTCGACCGAGAGGTCAATCGACGGATTCAACTCGGTTGGGCAGCGTTCGCGAAATTACCGCACATCTTCTCGTCAGGTATACCTCAAAACTTGAAAACGAGACTGTACAACCAGTGCGTGTTGCCAGTGATGACATACGGAACTGAGACGTGGTCCTTCACTGCTGGCCGGATGAGGAAGCTCAAGGTCGCTCAGCGAGCTATTGAGAGGGCTATGCTCGGAGTTTCTCTGCGTGATGAACTCAGAAATGAGGATATCCGCAGTAGAACCAGAGTGACCGACATAGCCCAACGGATTAGTAAGCTGAAGTGGCAATGGACCGGCCATATAGCTCGAAGAACCGACAACCGATGGGGAATAAAGGTTCTCGAGTGGCAGCCTCGTACCGGCAGGCAAAGTTTTGGGCGTCCCCCCACTAGATGGAGTGACGACCTGGTAAGATATGCAGGAAGTTGATAGATGCAGGTGGCTCAGGACCGTGATTTGTGGCATTCCTTGGGGGAGGCCTATGTTCAGCAGTGGACTTGTGAAGGGCTGTAATGATGATGATGATGATGATGATGATGATGATGACTTGCAAACAAAGGTAAGTTAATCATTCAACTCAACAAAAGGGCCTCGTTATCGCGTAACCGCACTAAAATGATAACTCAATAGGGGCGGTCTTAAAGGGACCCAAATCTTCGATAGTAAATTAGGCGCGCACAATTAATCAAATTCTCGACCATCAAAGCCAAAACTGCCCGCGCGCAACCGATCCAGTGGTCGCAACAATAAAACTAGTCGACGGAGCCGGTGCTGTCAGGCTACTGTGTTCAGCCCACGCGTCGAGCGACTGCAAGTTGCAAGCGGCGTTAACCTCACCTTACACCAACGGGTGATGTGCCGAGTCAACGCTATTGGATGCGGTTTCAAATGCCCATGTTTGGGCCTAAACAGACGTAACACACATAAAAAAACATACAGTCAAATTGAGAACCTCCTCCTTTTTTGGATTCGGTTGAAAAATTGATGCATTTTACCTTTATATCTTGATATTTGTTAAACATCTCATCGTCTCATCATCTTGATATTTACTTCTTTGCCTCAAGTTTTCATGATTACCGTCAATTTATAAGTGTTTACAATAATAAATGTTTCCTTCGCAGGCGCTCCGTAACATAATCAACTCATCGTGCGACCAACCAATTGGCTACCCCATCTACGTGTCACCACTGACCACGTCGTATGCCGACACTTCGCCGCAACTATGCTCACTGCTCGGAGGACCAGTTTCCGTTACTGCTATCCGGCAACGGCTAACTGCGCTTTGGAGAAAGTAAGGCATATTGCCAAATATTAAACTTTGTATTATATATATTTATAGTACCTAATTATTCAAAGTATTTTCCGCATAACCGTCAACCATTTTATCTCCTCTGCGAAAGCTTCTGTCAGATTCCATGTGACGGAGTAGTGTAACATCCTTTGGTTGCAAACATTTTTTCCGATTGAGTGGTAGACGAACCTTAATTCCTAGTCTTTGCAAACGCGGTAAACTGTCTTATAATCTTTGCGCACCACGTCAACTTTCATGGCTTATAAATTTAACACCGTATCATTTCAAAGTATTCGCGGTTCGAATATTTTCGTTGCGAAATTAACCAACGAAAGTTTAAAAATTGGACACTGGTACGTAACGAGTGAACATACCTAGCACTGTAACAGCTTACGGAAGGGAAAGGGCAGGGAGACGAGCTAAATCTGTAACCGAGTGCGACCGCTGAACTGGCAAAGCCCTACCGAATGCTTCCGAATTCAACACTGCCTTACGAATGTGTGCGTGCTAATGGAATAGTAGACGCTACATATATATATATATATATATATATATATATATATATATATATATAAAAGATAAAGAGGACAAAATTTTTGAGTATTTTTTTCTTATATTTTTTTCACCATTCGCTTACATTACCTATTCTGAACCTCCCCAAATTTGGCCGATTATTACAAAATAACCCTGTATAATACGAGGGGAGGTTAAAAAGTTCGCAGAATGAAAAGGAAAGGGGGTGAAATTAAACATGAATTTATTTGTCCTCTTTAATATATTCTCCATTAACCCTAATAAACTTCTCAGACCGTTCAAATATCTTATCTCTACCTTCAAAAAAATGTTTGTCAAGGCCCTCAAAATAGGCAGAAATTGCTGACTTCACTTCTTTAAATTAATTAAATATAAAAATAAATTAATAATAATTTTTTTTTTCATATTTGGGAATAAATAATAGTCCTAAGTAGCCTAATCTGACTGTAGGGTGGTTTAAAATTTCGAAGCCGCCCTTGTGTAAGGAAGCCATCGCAAAAGGACTCTTGTGAAAGGATGCGTTGTCGTGCAGGAGCACTACTCCAAATCTCTTTCCCCTTTTTTTTTAATCGCATGTTTTATTTTTTCTAGTAGCGTAGCGTAATACTGTCCAAAAAAACTGAAGCCATAGTCTTTCCAGCCGATTGTGACACTGAACTTCTTAGGCGGTGCTGCGCCATTTATGCAACTGCATGGATTTGGCACCTATCTTACACTGACCTTACACATGCCAAGATGGTCATGGAGAATGTTTAAAACGGTCTTAGGTCCAGTCATTTCTGCGACTTTCTTTCTTCAGGCCAGCATCTTCAAGAACAAGTTTTGACCTTTTTCGCCAATGTCTGAAGAAGTTGCTTTAATCGGTCGACCTGAGTGCTGATCATCTATAATTGAGTCTCTGCCTTGCTTGAAAAGGCTATGACACTTATAAATCATCGTTTTACCAGGGCAAGAGTCGTTGTAAACAGATGACATCTCTTGCATAATGATATGTGACATTTTGCCTTGCTTAGTGAGGAATTTAATCACGGCACGAAACTTAATTTTCACCATAGTTAGGGTTCACTTCCCGATTGACTTATTTATCCTGTAATATCTCAAAGGTTAATGAACCGATCTGGCTGAAACTTGGAATTTATAGTTCTATTGAGTCACCAAGAGTGACAGCTAAAATCTAAGAGCAGTAATCCACTGGTGGTCAAGTTACCGCTAAAATTCTTATTTATTTATGCTGACTCATATTTACAGCATTAATTTTTGACTGAAACTAATTTTACGGATTACATCGCGTTTAATTTAAACGTTTTAATTCCGGTTGTTAACGACGAATATTAATACATACAATGGTATGTATTAATATTTTTGGCTAAAGGGTTAGTAGTAGATGCTACAATAAATGATAAAGTCACTAAAGGTGTGTGTGTGTGTGTGTGTGTGTGTCAGGGTGCGGCGGCGGTGCGGGGAGGGCTGCTCCAGCGGCGGCGCGTGCGACGTTGTGGCGGCCGAGGCGGGCTCCGCGCGCCCCGCGCCCGCGCCCGCCCCCGCAGGACCCCCTGGCACCGCAGCACTGCAGCTGTCGCGCTCCTCGCTCGGTAACTATAGCATACTGTAGTGTCCGGCTGCAGCAGTGCGGCAGTGAGGAGGCTGCTCCAGCGGCGGCGCGTGCGACGTTGTGGCGGCCGAGGCGGGCTCTGCGCGCCCCGCGCCCGCACCCGCCCCCGCAGGACCCCCTGGCACCGCAGCACTGCAGCTGTCGCGCTCCTCGCTCGGTAACTATAGCATACTGTAGTGTCCGGCTGCAGCAGTGCGGCAGTGAGGAGGCTGCTCCAGCGGCGGCGCGTGCGACGTTGTGGCGGCCGAGGCGGGCTCCGCGCGCCCCGCGCCCGCACCCGCCCCCGCAGGACCCCCTGGCACCGCAGCACTGCAGCTGTCGCGCTCCTCGCTCGGTAACTATAGCATACTGTAGTGTCCGGCTGCAGCAGTGCGGCAGTGAGGAGGCTGCTCCAGCGGCGGCGCGTGCGACGTTGTGGCGGCCGAGGCGGGCTCTGCGCGCCCCGCGCCCGCACCCGCCCCCGCAGGACCCCCTGGCACCGCAGCACTGCAGCTGTCGCGCTCCTCGCTCGGTAACTATAGCATACTGTAGTGTCCGGCTGCAGCAGTGCGGCAGTGCGGGAGGCTGCTCCAGCGGCGGCGCGTGCGACGTTGTGGCGGCCGAGGTGGGCTCCGCGCGCCCCGCGCCCGCACCCGCCCCCGCAGGACCCCCTGGCACCGCAGCACTGCAGCTGTCGCGCTCCTCGCTCGGTAACTATAGCATACTGTAGTGTCCGGCTGCAGCAGTGCGGCAGTGAGGAGGCTGCTCCAGCGGCGGCGCGTGCGACGTTGTGGCGGCCGAGGCGGGCTCTGCGCGCCCCGCGCCCGCACCCGCCCCCGCAGGACCCCCTGGCACCGCAGCACTGCAGCTGTCGCGCTCCTCGCTCGGTAACTATAGCATACTGTAGTGTCCGGCTGCAGCAGTGCGGCAGTGCGGGAGGCTGCTCCAGCGGCGGCGCGTGCGACGTTGTGGCGGCCGAGGCGGGCTCCGCGCGCCCCGCGCCCGCACCCGCCCCCGCAGGACCCCCTGGCACCGCAGCACTGCAGCTGTCGCGCTCCTCGCTCGGTAACTATAGCATACTGTAGTGTCCGGCTGCAGCAGTGCGGCAGTGAGGAGGCTGCTCCAGCGGCGGCGCGTGCGACGTTGTGGCGGCCGAGGCGGGCTCCGCGCGCCCCGCGCCCGCACCCGCCCCCGCAGGACCCCCTGGCACCGCAGCACTGCAGCTGTCGCGCTCCTCGCTCGGTAACTATAGCATACTGTAGTGTCCGGCTGCAGCAGTGCGGCAGTGAGGAGGCTGCTCCAGCGGCGGCGCGTGCGACGTTGTGGCGGCCGAGGCGGGCTCCGCGCGCCCCGCGCCCGCACCCGCCCCCGCAGGACCCCCTGGCACCGCAGCACTGCAGCTGTCGCGCTCCTCGCTCGGTAACTATAGCATACTGTAGTGTCCGGCTGCAGCAGTGCGGCAGTGCGGCAGTGCGGGAGGCTGCTCCAGCGGCGGCGCGTGCGACGTTGTGGCGGCCGAGGCGGGCTCCGCGCGCCCCGCGCCCGCACCCGCCCCCGCCCCCGCAGGACGACTTAGAGAATTACAGGGAGAGTTAGCTGCCTACGGCATCCTCACGAGGTCCACCCATATACCAAGGCGGGACAACCATGTTGTGGGCAGGAATTCGTCTTGGCGGACGAACCCAGCTCGCTTGGATCCAAGGCAGCATGACTATATAAAAATACCACGAGGAGGTAGTAGAGCTTGTTATTGACCCACATAGAATCCAAACGGGCCAGGAATGTCTACTCTTGCACGATAATGCTGCTTCAGCTGGAGTCAGCCGCTCTCCGATACCCCAATATTCAAGTTTTGGTTTGTATTGCACAGTCGACCGACTTAAATACTATCTACCTATGTTAGGACGAAAAGCTTTGAGAGATATTCCGCCAAAGAAAACAACAACTTTACGAACACTTGCAAAGAACATGGAACCTCATACCACAGCAAGACATTGACAGTTTAATTTTAAGTATGAACAATCGATGTCGATGTGTAATTAATGTATGGGGTCGAAACACTGATTATTAATAATTAGATTTTATAATATTTTTCAAATTTTATTTAAAATTAATAGTTCTATAAGAAGAAATGAAGTTTTTTTTATCATACTAATTTTCTACGGTGATTAAAAAAAATTAACATTTTTATTTAAAACAAAAAAAATACTCAATATTTTTTAAAATAACATTTTTGAAATATAAAATATCCCTAGATTTTGTTAATGTGTGTATTTATATTCTGACTTCCAATTTTAGATACCTACGTAAATTCATGTTTTAATTTATGAACAGCAACATGATAATGATGATGATGATAACGTTGACGACTGCGAGAATTATGCAGAAAAGATCAGAATTGAAGAGCTACATTCAGTTGAAAACTTTTTTGTTCGAGATTATAAATTCATGGTTCATTTATTTTATAGTTTTTCAAAAATATCTGTTTTCCTTACCAGTTTATATTGAGCTACATCACAATATTTCTGAAAATTGTTCATATTCTTACTTTGACTATATTTTAAATTATATTTTGGGGAAAATTTTTTGATTTTATGGTTTTGTACAGCTGGTACCCGTGGAAGCTTAGCTAGTGCGGGCAAACCAACATCTTCAACCCTGGCATCTCTTGCTGGTCTCCTCAGGGAACATTCCCATGAAAGAACACAAGAAGAAACCTGTAAGTCTTATTATTTTACTTCAATACATGTTTATATATTATGTTTGTCCTTGTGCAATTTATGTAAGTTAAACGCTACCACAACACATGGTAAATTCTAAAAAAAAATATTATATTCATTACAATATTTATGACAGGTTTTTATAATTCCTTTCTTTCAAATTTGTTGTATTATACTGAATTGACTGCATAGTGACAGTGTAAGAATATCCACTACGTCATATCGTCCCGTGGATCTCGTAAGACGCGACAGAGGGTAAACTTTAAATAGGAGTTGGGCGGCAGCATTTTCCTGATAAAAATACAAAATAATAAAAAAAATGCCGTTGCCAGCTAAAATTTTACCAAAATAGCTGGACTAAACGTCCATCACTCATCTGTGTAATTATAACCCCATTCGTCCCGTGAGTGTCACCAGATGTCGCTAGATGGGACGTTGGTGAACTTATTTGTCACGCAGATGGTCACAAAGTATCAGCATCATTGAAAAGTTGCGTTTCAAATAAAAGTTTTTCGGTTTCTTGAGTATACATATACTTTTTTTTTATAGGAGAGGGGGCAAACGAGCATGCGGCTCACCTGATGGTAAGTGACTACCGCTGCCCATGAACAACCGCAACACCAGGAGAATTGCAGATGCGTTGCCGGCCTTTTCTTGAAGGTCGCTAAGTCGTTTCGGTCCGGAAAAATCGCTGATGGTAATCGATTCCACAAGGATGTCGTGCGAGGAAGAAAACATCTTCTAAATCGCTCAGTGGTGGACCGCCAATCATCCAGATGGTGTGGATGGTATCGGGAGTTCTGCCGCGATCTGCGTTCATGAAATTTGGCGGCTGGGATTAATTTGAACAATTTCTCAGAGCACTCCCCGTGGTAGATGCGAAAGAAAATGCAAAGGGATGCAACATCTCTTCGCAGTGCCAATGAATCGAGCCGATCGGAAAGGACTCGGTCGTCGACGATTCGAATCGCTCTGCGCTGGATGCGGTCAAGTGGAAGGAGCTGGCACTGGGGAGCCCCTGCCCAGAAATGGAAACAGTATTCCATGTGAGGCCGAACCTGCGCCTTGTAAAGTTGCAGGCGGTGTGCCGGCATGAAATACTGTCCCGCACTGCTGAGCACGCCAAGCTTTTTAGAGGCCAATTTGGCCTTCTCTTCCAAGTGACCACGAAACTGCACATCACTCGATATGTCGACTCCGAGGATTCCGATACTGGCTGAGGCAAAAAGGGGAGTACCTTGAAACTTAGGAGATACGACAAAGGGGTTCTTTTTAGCGGTAAACGCGCAAACTTGTGTCTTCTGAGGATTAAACTGGACAAAATATAGTCGCCCCCAATCGGAGACTTTGTTCAGCAAAGACTCGACTTCAGACACAAGTATGTTCCGGTATTTAGCGACGTTTTCCCGAGAAATATTGGCACGGCCGGTGTATAAAGCATCACCAGTGCTTTCATCCGCATAGCAATGAATGTTACCAGTTAGCAACATATTATTGGTATGCAGAAGAAACAGCGTTGGTGATAGCACACAGCCTTGTGGAACACCAGCGTTAATAGGCTTGTAGTCGGAGCATGCACCGTCTACAACGACCTTGATGCTCCGATCTGCAAGGAAGCTGGTGATCCAATTGCACAATTTCTCGGGAAGCCTATAGAAAGGGAGCATCGAAAGAAGCGCTTTGTGCCAAACCCGATGTCCAAACTAACGGCCAACGCCTCCCCCTTGGACTCTACTGCGTCCGCCCATCTATGGGTCAGGTAGACCAGAAGATCACCAGCTGATCGACCCGACGAAAACCGTATTGGCGGTCACTAATCAGCTGGTGATCCTCAAGGTACCGCATGAGCTGGCAGTTAATAATGGATTCCATTATTTTGGAGAACAAGGAAGTGATGGCGATAGGCCTATGTTGGACGGATCTGATCGGTCGCCTTTTTTAGGGATCGGGTGGACAAAAGCTGTCTTCCATGGATTCGGGACTACGCCTTGGGAGTAGGAGTACCGGAAAAGACGCGTTAGGACCGGTGCCAACTCCGGAGCACACGTCCTCAGCACAATTGGGGGATTCCGTCAGGCCCACTCGACTTCTGGATGTCCAGGGAGAGGAGTGCTTTGCGAACCGAGCGCTGTGAGAACAGCACATCCGGCATGGAGCACTCACACCGCGGGATGGTCGGCGGTGTTTTCCCCCCATCATCAAGAGTCGAGTTGGACGCAAAAAGGGAGCCTAAAAGGTCGGCTTTGTCTTTTGCGGCTTGGGCCAGTGAGTCGTCCTCCCTGTGCGGAGATGGTAGTGATGGCTTACAGAAATTCCCTTGGACAGCCTTCGCGAGAGACCAGAATGCACGGGTTCCTGAAGGAAGGCGAACTAGTTTCTCGCCAATTCTGCTAATGTGCCAGAGAACTTTGCCTTGGCAATAACTCTTTTGAAGGACCTGGAGGCGAAGTTATACTTATTTTTAAGTGTGCTGGTGTTTACATCCCGTGTCGCCGAAGCCGCAGCCCAGGCTTGATAACACTTGCTTACTGCGTAATGCAGTCTTACAGGAGCGACCAAACCAAGGCTGGGTGTACACGCCCCTAGTTGCCCCAACAAAGGTCGACTGGACCAGGGCCCATGAGTGGTCCCCTCGACGAGCAACCAAGGGGGGAGTCCAATGGCCTATGGATTACGGTGTAAGAAGTGATGCCCTTAAATTAATTATTTCATATTTAAGTAAGAGAACGCAAAAAGTTGTCATTAACAATATGAGCTCTTCCGGATCGATGGTACAAATGGGCGTGCCTCAAGGCTCAATTCTCGGCCCCTTTCTGTTTCTTGTATACATTAATGACTTACCTTACATAGTAGGGGATAACCATGATATAGTATTATTTGCAGATGACACTTCTTTAATTTTCAAATTAAGTCGACAGTTACTAAAATATGACGAAGTAAATAATGCTATATCTAAATTAGTAAATTGGTTCGATGTTAATAATTTGCATTTAAATGGCACTAAAACAAAATGTATGAAATTCGTGACTCCAAATGTCAAACAATTAAATACTAATGTAATTTTAAATGGGGAGAAACTGAGTCTTGTAAATACCACCATTTTTCTTGGAATCACACTAGACGCGAAGCTTCAATGGAGCCCCCATATATCAAAACTAGCAAGCAGACTTAGTTCTGCAGCATATGCTGTAAAAAAGATTAGAAGTCTAACCAGTGTTGAAACAGCTAGACTAGTTTACTTCAGCTACTTCCATAGCATAATGTCGTATGGTATTTTGCTATGGGGACACGCAGCTGACACTGAAATTATATTTGTTTTGCAGAAGAGGGCCATAAGAGCAATTTATGATTTAAAGCCTAAAGAGTCGCTGCGACAAAAATTTAAGGAAATTAATATATTAACTTTGGCCTCTCAATACATTTATGAAAATTTAATGTACGTACACAAAAATAAAAGTAGTTTTATAAAAATAAGTGATATTCATTCTGTAAATACTAGGAACAGACACAAGCTAGTAGTACCAGTTACTCGACTCCATCGAGTCAGTAATTCATTCTTGGGGCGATGTATACGCTTTTACAACAAAATTCCAGAAAATATACAAAGTTTGGCCTGTTCAAAGTTCAAAAACTTTATTAAACTAAGTTTGTATAAAAAGGGTTATTATAATATTAAGGAATTTATGGATGATAATAACCCCTGGAAATGAGGTGATCGCTACCAAGCTATTTCTAATTTGTTGTGTTGTTAATTTGTGTAACATCATGATTGTAAGCTGTTATTTAAAAAAAAAAGTCCCGCTGGGTTTCTTGCTGGTTCTTCCCAGGACAGAGGTTTTTTCCGAACCAGTGGTAATCAAACAAAAGAGTGACTTTCAATAAGTATTATTTATAATCTATATTGAATAAAAAAGTTTCTGTTTCTGTTTCTGTTTCTTACGGTTCCAAAAACGGCTGACAAATAAGCAAGCACAACTTACCGATTTCCTGAGGTAGGGTTGACCACAGGATACCTGTCAGGTGGTAAAGTGAGGTGTCTTCCAAGTGACCACGAAACTGCACGTCACTCGATATGTCGACTCCGAGGATACCGATACTGGCTGAGGCAAGAAGGGGAGTGCCTTGAAATTGAGGAGATACGACAAAGGGGTTCTTTTTAGCGGTAAACGCGCAAACTTGTGTCTTCTGAGGATTAAACTGGACTAGATTTAGTCGCCCCCAATCCGAGACTTTGTCCAGCAAAGACTCGACTTCAGACACAAGTTTGTTCCGGTACTCGGCGACGTTTTCCCGAGAAATATTGGCCCGGCCGGTGTATAGAGCATCACCAGTGCTGTCATCCGCATAGCAATGAATGTTACCAGTTAGCAACATATCATTGATATGCAGAATGGGATGGTATGTACAATAAGGTTGATAAACTATATTAGTCTATCAACTTTATTGTACGTTTAATTAACTTCAAATTTAACTAAGTCCACTTTAATCGCAATTAAAACAAGTGACACACGACACAAGTAAAGAACAGGCGGTCAAAGTTCAACGTTCCATGTTCACTTTGCAACAAATTATAATCACGAGAACGAACGCGGTCTCGTCTCGAGTCACAAAGTTCAGCGTTCTCCCGACAAGTAAAAGTCTTATCACGCTATCAAAATGACGCACAAACAACTCGTCGATGCAAATTAATGGCAATCAGTTAATTTAATCACTCAAAACTCAAATTAGGCCTCTTGTCACGTAACACGCTCAAAACAGACAACTAAATTCGAGGCGGTCTTAACTAGACCTAAATATTCAATAGTAAATTCCAAACGACGCGCACAATTAACTCAAATTTTAGACCTGCAAATCAAAACTCCGGACGCGCGCTACCGTCTAACGGTCGCAAACAATACTCAAAACGGTTACAACAATAATTATATGAGATCAGCCTCGTTGCCACGCAAAATGCCCGAGATTCGACAAATTCAAATTTAACTATTCAAAAGAGGCTCCGCGCGCGACTCTTAACCGTATCGTCGACACCGAGGTCGCTAGCAACTAACAAACGGTCGCATACCATACTAACGCCTCGGCCATGCGTCAGGCGACTGATTCTTCTAGACTCATCCCGAAAGCCACGCCCTCGAATGGAATGCGAGCGGGAGAGGGGACTGGCCGTGACCTTGGTAACATCAGTGGCATGCGCCGAGTCGAGTGTGTTGAATGCAAATTTCAAGTAGAACGCAACCGCGAAGGAGTTGTGAGTGGCACCACACTCCGGATCAGACAATGGTCCGAAGAGCCGAGAGGGGCATCGACGGAAACCTGATATCCGTCCGGATGAGAGGTCAGCAGAAGGTCCAACAGGGAAGGTGTATGATCCTCCACATCTGGAATCCGCGTAGGCGAAGTAACCAGTTGTGTCAGACCATATTATGCCAAGGCAAAGACATAAACAGATCTCCCCGCATGATCGGTTAAACGTGAATCGAGCCATTCGGCGTGGTGGGCGTTAAAATCGCCAAGGATCACGATCTCTGCGGATGGGACCTGTTGTAGCAAGGAATCTGTAGCCATTTGGACGTGGTCGATGAGTCGGTCTGTTTCGCATTACCGCTATGGGACCTATAAAGGGCACCCGTAGACTCTCGGATGGTCGTCGCTGTCTACGCGTAGCCAAAGGATGGACAGGTCCGAACCTTCAAGACTGCCGAGGCGTCGAGAACAGATGTCCTCTCTGACATACACGCAATCTCTAGCCCGAGGCACAAAGGAGTGCTCCAATTTGTACCCCGGGTAGGAGAGATATGAAATATCAGCCGGAGAGGAAACCTACGTCTCGGTCAGAAAGAGCAAGGCCGGCTTCGCCGTCTCGAGATGGTAGTGGACGGCGTTTAAGTTCGAGTGAAGTCCTCTGATGTTGCAGAAATTCACGGATAGCGTGGCAGGGGTCGCCTTGGTATTGTTACTCAGTTTGCCCCGAGCAGTAATGTTTTTGAGCGGAATTTTGTCCCTCCCCCCCAGAATACGCGGGGCAGCCTGAGCACCCACGCTCAGGAGTGGAATAACATGGTCGTGGATGCTCAGCGAGGGATTCTCCAGGGGTGCTGGTACCCTCCTGGGGTAGTCTCAAAGTCCCATCGGACTTTGAGAGTGAGGGAATAGAGAGTGCACCTGTGCTTGTGCACACCCTCATGTACTATAATCCTGTCCTGCATAGATGCAGGATGTCCTTACTTATGCTATTCTTACTCTTTTACGGTAGACATAAAGTACTCAGACCGGCAAACAGCAGTGGCGACATCTGGTACTGTGATCTTCAATCCGCTCGCAAGCTTGATGATTAAGAAATATCCTCCCTATACAGAAGAAGTCCATGCCATGAAGTGGGCTTTTATAATTTTTGATAGCTAATATGTATAAAATGTTACCAAATGTTAAACCAATTTGAATGTATTTTAGCTTACGCTAGTCAAGACAGTACAGAAGCGCGACGCCGCAGTGAAGAGAGAGGCGGACGTAGGGAGAGAAACATGCGGGCACGCAGTCAGGTATGTTATATTTTTCGGCGTTTAGGTATATATTATACAGGGTTTCCGAGTAATCTACGTCAAGCCGGTAACGTGTGATAGGCCAAGTCATGATAGTGATCAAAAAAATTTAATAAAAAAATTAAGTTATGTATTTGTTTTATTATATAATCCTGAACAATGCTTCTGTAAGTCGTTGCTTAAAATTCAAAGCTCCAGCCTCGAAGATAATTTCACTTTTAGCCGAACTAAGTTCATACTTCGTCCAATGTTAAATGACTACTGAAAAAAAAATGTACTACGCTAGTTTGGCAAGTTACTTTAAAAGTTGGCGCATTTGTTATGGCTTTCAAAATGATACTTGCTAAATTACATCTTGCTAACTCAGTTTTGAACAAATTATTATTACTTGAACTGTTCAGGATTACATATTAAAAATAAAATTAAAAATAATTAAAAATTTTGTACAACTGACATAAATATAAATTATTAAGAATAACTCAAAAACAGTTAGTTTGGTCAGACCTTGATCAAATTTATATGGGACCACATGAGCAGCACCAGCTTTCAAATAATAAAAAAATCATCGAAATTGGTTTGATAAATCGAATCGAAGACGGTCGGTAGAAAAATAAAGATTTGTAGTAACGCGAGTTGAAAGACTATCACATGCTGTAAATTTTATCGAATTTTTAAAAATCCTTATTATTTTTAAAAATACTTAACTTAATTTTTTTATTATATTTTTCTATTTTGCCTATCACCCGTTTGCGGCTCGACGTCTATTTCTGGGACACCCTGTACACGGGGTTACGTGAATATAATATTAAGCACTCAGCTCTTGTTACGAAGTAATAAAGTGCTACCCAGCACTTTATTACTTCGTAACAAGAGACACTATTTATTAATATGTTTTTTGTTGGAGTGAATACTTTCTGCACTTTGGACTATACAGTATTAAAACGGCTTGTTTTGGTGCAGCCGGGCAACCGGCGGCGCTCACGTGGCAGCGGGTGTGGCAGTGGCAGCGTCGGTGGCAGTGGTGGTGGCAGCGGTGGCGGCGCAGCGTCGTTTCGTTTGCTGGCGGCTGACAGTGCGCGCGCGCATCTCGCCGACGAACAGGTGACGTCTTTTATACTTTTAAGTGCAGGGAATTCTGCATAAGATTTCGTAACGAATAAAGTGATAATTAAGTGACGTGAGGGTAATATGGTAACCTTAAGCTTTGCCTCCCCATAAAATCAAAACTGGAAGGAGAACAGAGACATAAACACAAAATCGTACACAATAACTAAGAAAAAAATAGCAAACAAGCTTTGGCAATAATTAGGAGCACTTCGAAAAATCAACTTAAAGAAAAGAGGTAATGATCGTATTTACTATACTACTATCTACTGCCAAAATAGCGTCGATAAAGCAGCGCCCGTTTGACGTTTTATTAATTGCTTAACTGATACAGAGCTATCGCAGTGATGGCGAACCAATGGCACACGTGCCATGTGCCATCGATGGCACGCGACACAGTGTTTTGGGCACGCCACCGATCACAAAGTTCATTAAGAAGTATTATATTACGACGAACGCGAGTGATCCTACACTACGGTGTGTTCGGGCGCGTTGCTTTGGGCGGCGGTAATCACTAACTCAAAATTATTTAACAGCTCGTCTATGGCTTCATTAAACATTTCTTTAGAAAAGTGGCACTTTGATACATAAAGGTTCGCAACCCCTTAACGCTAATACTTTCTTGTTTGCATAGATGGCTCTGTAATCAGAGCCATCTATGCAAATAAGACTGTAGTTTTTGAGTTATTAGAAAGTGATCATATTAACCAGATAACCATATTATCCTCACGTACTATATTAATTTGTTGTGTATTAAGTGGTACCGTGTTGTGGCGGTGTAAGAATATCCACTAACGCCATAACGCATCAGTGATCTTCTTTGTTTGCTGTTGGAATGTTAGCTACGTACAATTATAAAAATATTTACTACATTGACATCAATACATTTTATTTACAAGGAAAGCAAGAATTGTAATGAAATCCTTTGAAATCTAAGGAGAGTTTAGTAGCTTTAATAACTTGATCAATAATGAAAACAAGTTAAATCTCAAAAAATATTAGCATTGCAGTCGCACAAATAAATGATCTAACGTTTCCATGCCGTACTATAAAAACTTTTTTAGATTTCTTTCTGTAATAATAAAATAACAAAATTAATTTATTTGCCAGGGATCAAATGGCTGGGAGTGCGGTTGGAGAGAACAACCGAGGCGAGCGGCGAGTGCTAAGGTATATGATATTCCCTTGTAATTTTATGATCGTTTATCTTGATTTATATTTATATAATATTATACTATCTGGTAGAAATATATTATATATAAAACACAATTAAATTTGATATAACATAAAATTGTTTCGAAAACAAAAAATAATATTTATTTATTATAACAACTCAGCATTTATAATCATCATCATCATCATCATCATTACAGCCCTTCACAAGCCCACTACTGAACATAGGCCTCCCCCAAGGAATGCCACAAAGCACGGTCCTGAGCCAACTGCATCCATTGACTTTCTGCATGTCTCACCAGGCCGTCGCTCAATCTAGTGGGGTGACGGCCTACACTTCGCCTACCGGTACGAGGCTGCCACTCGAGAACTTTTTACCCCATCGGTTGTCGGTTCTTCGAGCTATATGGCCGGCCCATTGCCACTTCAGCTTACTAATCCGTTGGGCTATGTCGGTTACTCTAGTTCTATTGCGGCTATCTTCGTTTTTAAGTCTATCACCCGTAGAAACCCCGAGTATAGCCCTCTCCATAGCTTGCTGAGCGACCTTCAGCTTCCTCATACGGCCAGCAGTGAAGGACCACGTCTCAGATCCATAGGTCATCACTGGCAACACGCACTTGTTGAACAATCTTGTTTTGATGTTTTGTGGTATGCCTGACGAGAAGATGTGTCGTAATATCCCGAACGCTGCCTAGCCGAGTTGTATCTGTCGATTGACCTCTCGGTCGAAGTTGTACTTACCTAGTCGGACTGTTTGTCCCAGGTAAACGTACTCGTCTACAACTTCGAGCTTAGTGCTCCCAACAATTACCGGCATAGGTGTGACATGGACGTTACACATGACTTTCGTTTTGTCCATGTTCGTCTTAAAACCTATCCGTTGGTAGACACTATTGAGGTGTTAAGCATAGTGCTTAGGTCCTGCAGTGATTCTGCCACAAGAACTATATCGTCGGCAAATCGAAGGCAAGTGATGTACTCGTCATTGACGTGAATACCGTATCCTTTCCACTCCTGTAGCTTAAAAACGTCTTCCAATGCAGCGGTGAAGAGTTTCTTACACCTCTCTGCAGTTGGATAGGTTTCGTACTTTGGTTCTGTATTCGGATAGCCATTGTAGCCTTACTGTACAACACTTCAGCACTTCGATATACCGACAGTCCACTTGGCACCGCTGGAGGGACTGCATTACCACCCAAATTTCGACGGAATCAAAGGCTTTCTCTTAGTCCATACGCAATACAAAGTGGCAGATTGTACTCTTCGGTCTTCTGTACAATTTACCGAGGGGTATGTATGTGTTCTATGGTGCTAAAGCCCTTTGAAACCGGCTTGTTCTGGAGGCTGGAAGTCACCGAGTCTGCGTGCGAGACGATTTGTAATGACTCTCGAAAACAGCACGTAGACGCGGCTGAGAAGGGAAATCGGTCTGTAGTTCTTCAAGAGAGCATTGTCGCCTTTCTTGAAGAACAAGACTACCGCACTTCTGCTCCACGCCTCCGGAGTAGTGCCACCATGGAGAACGGAATTAAAGAGCTTCTCAAGGATTTCCAAGTACCGGTTTTCCACCCGCTTTCATAAGCTCCGCTGTAATTCCATCCTCGCCCTGGAACTTACCGTTTTTAAGGTGCTGGAGAGCGAAGGTGAATATAATCTCGCTCAGACTAACGTCGGGGATATCATCAGAATAGCGTCGGATAAGATTTGCTCTTAGATCGTTACACTTGCGTGTTGCTCCAACGATGTGTTGAACCTTTCAATCCTACTCAAAATCTCAGGTGTCCCGGAAACGATGCTGCCACACTCGGTCTTCAGCTTTGACAGTTGGCTCTTTCTGGTAGACAGATCTCTGGCAAAGACTGGAGCCGTAATTCTGCTCGATCCCTTCTTCAATATGAGCAGTATTAAAGGCGCGTAAGTACCGCCGCATGCATTTGGAGATCTGTATGTTCAGATGTCTGTATGCTGTCAAATCTGCTGAAGACTGCAGCTTCATTTCCCGTCTAACAGCCATGTGATTAAGAGTGTGATTGGAGAGTTTTTGTGTTCTTCTGCGGCGGGTCTTGCAGAACTTGCTCCAACCACATAGACAGTTTCCACTAGCTTATCATTCATATCGTCCACTGCATTGCAATCTTCTAAGCACTGAAAACGGTTTTGCAACTCGAGCTGAAAGGTTTCGGTAATTTTGATCAGAGCACGAGGGGGACGGAGCGTTGACTTTATTAGACGAAACCTCTCCAACTTAACGTTTAGGTTCAGTGTGCCTCTAACCATTCGTTGATCGCTACCAGTTTTCACCCTCGCGATCACTGAGACATCACTGAACAGTTGCGCTGTAGTCGTCATAATGAAGTCAATCTCATTTTTTGTCGAACCGTCGGGGCTCGACCAGATCCACCTCCTGTGGGGCCGCTTCTGGAAGAAAGTTCATCATAAAGAGTCCCCTTCCTCCATGAAGTCGGCCAGCTGCTGGCCTCTTGGGTTCCGTTGCCATATTCCAAATTTCCCTACCTTAAGCTCACCGTTCGCTCTAGTGTTTAGTTTTGCGTTGAAGTCTCCCATTAACACCGTATAGTGGGTTTTGGAGGAATGCTTGACTCTAGAGATATCCTCATACATTTCCTCCACCTCCCCCTCGGGATGTCCCGAGGTTGGTGCGTAAACGTATATGACCTTTAACGAATACCCTTTGGTGATTTGGAGTATAACGTAAGCAACTCTCGTCGATACACTTACAATCTTAACTACGTTGTTAACGAGTGACTTGTGGACAATAAATCTGACACCTTAGGACAGATGGTCGCCCTCCCGGTGATAGACGTTGCCGGATTCGAGGATTACCGTGTCCTCCCCCTCTCTTCGGACCTCAGATAATCCTATAATATCCCAGCGCAACTTATCGACCTCTTCTCCAGCCCCAGTATCTTCTCATACAAGGCCCGACCTGGCCACATACAACGAAACGAAGCGTTGAATGTTGCCAGGTCTTTGGTAGCAACCGAACCTCCACCGGAGATTCTTAGCACCCCCTGCCCCGTTATTACCATTTTTGCCACTGTAGCCAGGGATAGCTGGCCCGCCAGGGATTGGGGCCGTCCTTTGTAACGTTATTTCGTCGTCTCGCAACTATGGCAATATACCCCCATATTGCCATAGTTGCCACGTTTGGCGAGCGTGTTGGCAACCGCAGTTCTTTTATTGTTGTGTTGCTGTTATCGGAAAGATGCTGCTGCACATCTTCTGCCTCAGTTTCCCTCTGTCGCTTCTTACGACACCCACGGGAAGATATCGGTTAGTGGCTATTCTTACCCGCCACTACACGGGGGGGGGGGGGGGGATAATTTTTTTTTATTATAACAATCTAGCATATTTTGTTGTAAGTCGTTCTCTTCTCATTGGAGAATAGTGCTGTGTGTAGGATAAGGAAAAAATCAATTCACACTTTAAATATATAAATTTTCATTTTTAAGAATAATATCATAATTTACTCTAAGGACGGGAATATGCCCTACATATTATGTCCTCGGGTGGGTGCTAAGCGAGCGATATATTTATATTTTTGAACATTTGTAATGAAGTTTAATAGTTAAATAGGTAGAATAATTATCTACATATATATAAATAATACAATGACATTAATTATTACTTAATTTATTATACTTTTTGTTTCATTATTTTATTTATTTATTTTGTACAACATTAAGTATTATTAGATCTGTTTGATTTTGATATGATTATTATTTTATTAGAAATACTGTAAGGCTTAGCAATATTCTTTATTCATTAACAATAATAACATAATTTATTGTTGATTGATTGATTGATAGCGGTGAAATAATAGACCTGACTGCCACATAACGGACCGTGCAAAAAGAAATAACTCCGAGTTCCCGGCGCCTCTTAAATGGGGCGAAGAATCTCTAGGAACAGAACGGGTAACGTTCTGTCTTTCGAGGGGGCGAGTAGTGGATTGTGAATGCCCGTTGAGCTACGCTAAATGTTTGTAAAGCGATGAATGGTAAGATGGGTGAACTATACGAGATGAAGTATGATAGAAGAATAAGTGTGTTATGTGTGAATGAGAAAATACTAAAGGGAAAAGATGCCGTTTCATATAGTACGATTCGGTTATTTTTTTTTTTTACTGTTTAGTTACTGGTCTTGTTTAGACGAGACTGAGCGGGCTTACCAGGTGGTTGGTATCATCTTTCCAGAAATATTGGATGACTGTATAAAAGAGAATGAATGTGTTATCCAGAGACGGCTATTGAAACGAATGAAATGTGCATGAATGAAAAGGCTTTATAAAGTTGCTTGTCCTTGGGGTTAACGCCGCAAATATGTCGAAGACCACTTATATATACATGTATCCGAAAGCAGTTTTGGGAGATGGTAGGAATGATGTTAATGAAACATTAGGAGAATGTATCTGATTTTCCGGCTTATATCTTTACGCATAGGTATTTGACGTTGTTTTTCCTTTGATATATCGCTCACTTTTTCAAGTGCCTGATTATACAGGATTATTTTTCAAAAACAAGACAAAGGAGATGTACGAAATTGGGTGCTTGACATCGTTCGTAACAGTTATACAAAAATATGTAGGTAATAAAACGATAAATAATAAGCATAAATAAATGGTATTTATTTCTGTAATACTTGGGACCATCATAAAAACATTTTTTAAAACTGTAATACGAAAGCTAATGCTTTTTCTATAGCAAAAACGAAACGTTATGAAATATTTTTCTGTGTTTTGTATATGGCAATAGATAATAAAGGCTATTTTTATAATAAAATAGTCTTCATTATTAAAAAAAAATCATAATGTTGAAGAGGTGAATCTGTAGTGATTAATTTTGAATAAAAGAATATAATATTTATAAAACGATTGAATAGGGTGTTATTAAACTAAGAAAACACTTATTTATTATCTTACACGACTGAATAGGATGTATGGTCATTGAACATTTCCGAAGGAGATTTAACTTGGTAACTTCGAGTTTCAACTTATCATGCGGCATGCGCATTTGGTATTGTGGCTCTATTTTTTTTTTGATATATCGTGTTTTTACTTTCGTGGATTTATTTAACTTGACTCTTGGCTTTTCTCTCGGACCACAGGACAGGACAGCCCACATAATGACAATAACTTGGTACTTAAGTTTTGAGAGGAATAGAACAGACAAATGTACAGGCTCCGGCTGCTTTTCTAAATCACATTTTATTAATAATTGCAGAAAATCATTATGTAAACATTTAAAAAAGTTTGAGTTTTATTTTACTTTATTTAATAATAACTACAAAACTGCATTATTTTGTGTTCTTTTCAATTTATTCAAACAACTTATCACAAGAATGAGGAGTAATTTTACTACATAACCTACAAATCATAACACATGAAATAAAACCAAAAACCCAGGTTCTCCAAAAATATGATTTTTGACATAAGTAGCAAATATTTTAATTTTGTTCATGCCGGGCCCAAAGCTTGTATGGAATCAAGTTCATCGCCATAAGCTCAAAATATAAATACTGATATATATGTTAATAAGGTTTCTACACATTTATTTGAAAATATTCGAAATTGAATGTGATTTATGGGTAACAATTACAGCTTACGCGCGCTCGTGTGTATACGAGTGAATGCATGGAACTTTTGCCGCACTTGCACTTAAATAGTGAGGTGAAGCACCGTCGTGTTGGAAATAAAAATTATTCAGTAACACTAGATATGATAGGTATATCGTCCAGGAAACCTTGAATAACACCTTATAACATGACCAAATAATTACCACCCATTAATGGTCTTTCAGTAAAGTATGGGCCACAATTATGTAATCAATAATTCCAGCACAAACATTTACACTAAACCGCACTTGATGATAACTGTCTTTTATAGCGTGTGGGTTACATACTACCTAGTAGTTCGTTACGTCTGTTATATAACACTACACGTGTAAATAGGCCTTCGTCAGTCTACATAATGTTAGTATTAACAATATGCAGACTGACGCAAACGCGGTTAAGACTCACTTTCGTATAATCTTTGCGCACCACGTAAACTTTTATTGCTTAAAATGTAACAACGCACCATTTCGTTGTATTCGCGGTTCGAATATTTTCGTGGCGTCGTTCGTAAGAATAGATAGGGTTGATTTAATAATAATAATACATTTATCAATCGCTGACGCACGCTATTATATCTAAAACATTTAAGGTCCATCCTATTTTTTCAAACATTCTATTATTTTAATGTCAAAATGCTAGAACATTGACAATCTTCATTAACTATATATCTAAAAGAGAAGAGGCTTTATTCAAGGACATAAGGTTGTGTCTTGCTTACATCGAAAAGTTTCAGCAATGTATATACTAATGCTCACACAATTTATTACCTTGATAGAGAATTATGATCCTTATTATTCAGACATAACGACTGATTTCTTATACACCGTTGTAATTTCTATTGCAATGTCAATCTTCGGGAACAAATTCGCCTAAACGTGGTGCAACGTACTTGTGACTATCGTAACAGTATGTTCACAATGGTTGTAAACGTGACTGCCGACTGCTGATCATGAGGTCCCGGGTTCGAATCCCGGATTGGATAAAAAAATTGTCTCTCTCCAGTCGTCCCTTTGGACTATGGAGGGTGAGGGTATAGAGAGTGTACCTGTGCTTGCACACACACACGGGAACTACAACGCTCTCCTGCGCAGATGGCTAGTCTCCGTTTAGACTGACCGCCGTGAACGAAATTCGAACTGGAGGACATTAATAATAACCACCGGAGTGGTGTGGTGCGCAGGTGTGCGGTGGAGGGGGAGGCGGCGCGTCGTCGCTGGAGGAGTTGCAGCTGGCGCGCGCGCTGCCCGCCGGCCTGGACCTGTCGCTGCCCGACTGCAAGATCATCGCCAACAGGAACGCGGCGCACCACCCGCACAAGAGGTATGCCTCCGCTGCACAGCTGTCCGCCTGGTACTGCCGGCCTGGACCTGTCGCTGCCCGACTGCAAGATCATCGCCAACAGGAACGCGGCGCACCACCCGCACAAGAGGTATGCCTCCGCTGCACAGCTGTCCGCCTGGTACTGCCGGCCTGGACCTGTCGCTGCCCGACTGCAAGATCATCGCCAACAGGAACGCGGCGCACCACCCGCACAAGAGGTATGCCTCCGCTGCACAGCTGTCCGCCTGGTACTGCCGGCCCGGACCTGTCGCTGCCCGACTGCAAGATCATCGCCAACAGGAACGCGGCGCACCACCCGCACAAGAGGTATGCCTCCGCTGCACAGCTGTCCGCCTGGTACTGCCGGCCTGGACCTGTCGCTGCCCGACTGCAAGATCATCGCCAACAGGAACGCGGCGCACCACCCGCACAAGAGGTATGCCTCCGCTGCACAGCTGTCCGCCTGGTACTGCCGGCCTGGACCTGTCGCTGCCCGACTGCAAGATCATCGCCAACAGGAACGCGGCGCACCACCCGCACAAGAGGTATGCCTCCGCTGCACAGCTGTCCGCCTGGTACTGCCGGCCTGGACCTGTCGCTGCCCGACTGCAAGATCATCGCCAACAGGAACGCGGCGCACCACCCGCACAAGAGGTATGCCTCCGCTGCACAGCTGTCCGCCTGGTACTGCCGGCCCGGACCTGTCGCTGCCCGACTGCAAGATCATCGCCAACAGGAACGCGGCGCACCACCCGCACAAGAGGTATGCCTCCGCTGCACAGCTGTCCGCCTGGTACTGCCGGCCTGGACCTGTCGCTGCCCGACTGCAAGATCATCGCCAACAGGAACGCGGCGCACCACCCGCACAAGAGGTATGCCTCCGCTGCACAGCTGTCCGCCTGGTACTGCCGGCCCGGACCTGTCGCTGCCCGACTGCAAGATCATCGCCAACAGGAACGCGGCGCACCACCCGCACAAGAGGTATGCCTCCGCTGCACAGCTGTCCGCCTGGTACTGCCGGCCTGGACCTGTCGCTGCCCGACTGCAAGATCATCGCCAACAGGAACGCGGCGCACCACCCGCACAAGAGGTATGCCTCCGCTGCACAGCTGTCCGCCTGGTACTGCCGGCCCGGACCTGTCGCTGCCCGACTGCAAGATCATCGCCAACAGGAACGCGGCGCACCACCCGCACAAGAGGTATGCCTCCGCTGCACAGCTGTCCGCCTGGTACTGCCGGCCTGGACCTGTCGCTGCCCGACTGCAAGATCATCGCCAACAGGAACGCGGCGCACCACCCGCACAAGAGGTATGCCTCCGCTGCACAGCTGTCCGCCTGGTACTGCCGGCCTGGACCTGTCGCTGCCCGACTGCAAGATCATCGCCAACAGGAACGCGGCGCACCACCCGCACAAGAGGTATGCCTCCGCTGCACAGCTGTCCGCCTGGTACTGCCGGCCTGGACCTGTCGCTGCCCGACTGCAAGATCATCGCCAACAGGAACGCGGCGCACCACCCGCACAAGAGGTATGCCTCCGCTGCACAGCTGTCCGCCTGGTACTGCCGGCCCGGACCTGTCGCTGCCCGACTGCAAGATCATCGCCAACAGGAACGCGGCGCACCACCCGCACAAGTAATATACTTTGAGATTGACTTCATTATGACGACCAGATGACAACTGTTCAGTGATGTCTCCGTGATCGCGAGGGTGAAAACCGGTAGCGATCACCGATGGTGAGAGGTATACTGAACATAAATGTTAAGTTGGAGAGATCACGTCTAATGAAGTCAACGCTCCGTCCCCCTCGTACTCTAATCGAAAGTCGCGAAACCTTTCAGCTCGAGCTACAAAACCGTTTTTAGTGCCTAGAAGATTGCAATGCAGTGGACGATATGGATGACAAGCTCGTGGAAACTGTCCATGCGGTCGGAGCTAAGTTTAGCAAGACCCGTCGCAGAAGAACACAAAATCTCTCCGATCACACTCTTAATCTCATGGCTGTTAGACGGGATATGAAGCTGCAGTTTTCGGTAGATTTGACAGCATACAGGCAACTGAACAGACAGATTTCCAAATGCATGCGGCGGGACTTATGCAACTTTAATACTGCTCGTATTGAAGAAGCGATCGAGCGGAACCAGGGCTCCAAAGTCTTTGCTAGAGATCTGTCTGCCGGAAAGAGCCAACTGTCTAAGCTGAAGACCGAGTGTGGCAGCGTCGTTTCCGGGACACCTGAGATTTTGAGTGAGATTTAGAGGTTCTATGGACAGCTGTACACATCATCGTTGGAGCACACGCAAGTGTGAGGAACGATACAAGAGCGAGTCTTATACGACACTATTCCGATGATATCCTGGACGTTAGTCTAAGCGAGATTAGAATGGCTCTCCAGCACCTTAAAAACGGCAAGGCCCCAGGCGAGGATGGAATTACAGCAGAGCTTCTGAAAGCGGGTGGAAAACCGGTACTTGAAGTCCTTCAGAAGCTCTTTAATTCCGTCCTCCATGGTGGCATTACACCGAAGGCGTGGAGCAGAAGTGCGGTGGTCTTGTTCTTCAAGAAAGGTGACAACGCTCTCTTAAAGAACTACAGACAGATTTCCCTTCTGAGCCGCGTCTACGTGCTGTTTTCGGGAGTCATTACGAATCGTTTCGCGCGCAGACTTGACGACTTCCAGCCGTCCGAACCAGCCAGTTACCGAAAGGGCTTTAGCACCATAGACCACATACATACCCTTCGGCAAATTGTACAGAAGTCTGAAGAGTACAATTTGCCACTATGTCTGGCGTATGTGGACTATGAGAAAGCCTTTGATTCCGGCGAAATTTGGGTGTTGCTGCAGTCCCTTCAGCGGTGCCAAGTTGACTGTCAGTATATCGAAATGCTGAAGTGCATGTACAGTAGGGCTACGATGGCTATCCGAATACAGAACCAGGGTACGAAACCTATCCAATTGCAGAGAGGTGTGAGACAGGGTGACGTTATATCCCCAAAACTTTTCACCGCTGCATTGGAAGACGTTTTCAAGCTTCTGGACTGGAAAGGATACGGTATTAACATCAATAGCGAGTACATCACTCACCTTCGATTTGCCGACTATATAGTCCTTATGGCAGAATCGCTGGAGGACATAAGCACTATGCTCAATGACTTCAATAGTGTCTCTCAACGGATAGGTCCTAAGATGAACATGGACAGAACAAAGATCATGTTTAATGTCCATGTCACACCTATGCCGGTAGTTGTTGGGAGCACTAAGCTCGAAGTTGTTGACAAGTATGTTTATCTGGGACAAATAGTCCGACTAGGTAAGTCCAACTTCGACCGAGAGGTCAATCGACGGATTCAACTCGGTTGGGCAGCGTTCGGGAAATTACGGCACATCTTCTCGTCAGGTATACCTCAAAACTTAAAAACGAGGATGTACAACCAGTGCGTGTTGCCAGTGATGACTTATGGCACTGAGACGTGGTCCTTCACTGCCGGCCGGATGAAGAAGCTCAAGGTCGCTCAGCGAGCTATGGAGATGGCTATGCTCGGAGTTTCTCTACGTGATAAACTCAGAAATGAGGATATTCGCAGTAGAACCAGAGTGACCGACATAGCCCAACGGATTAGTAAGCTGAAGTGGCAATGGGCCGGCCATATAGCTCGAAGAACCGACAACCGATGGGGAAAAAAGGTTCTCGAGTGGCGGCTTCGTACCGGCGGATGAAGTGTAGGGCGTCCCGCCACTAGATGGAGTGACGACCTGGTAAGACATGCAGGAAGTCGATTTGTGCAGGTGGCTCAGGACCGTGCTTTGTGGCATTCCTTGGGGGAGGCCTATGTTCAGCAGTGGACTTGTGTAGGGCTGTAATGATGATGATGATGATGATCAATGACTTGACTAGCATAGATTGTGTATTTGTCCAATCCATTCATAACAATCCATGATTTCAAAACTTACCGATTATACATTTTTTGGGTTTATGCCACCTAGCATCTACTTTACGTTACCACCTTGAGAATCAATCAATTTTTGTTCGATAAAATGACTTTACCTATTGAATGTAATAGTATTACTTGGCTTCCGCTGCGTGTGAACGGCTCATATATTTTTTTTTATTTATGCATTAATTAATATTGTGTCTAATGCGATCACTATTTCTAAAATAAATACATGTACCTTAGTAACTTTTAAATAAAATTAATATAAGATTAGTATTCAAACGAAAGACCGTTGTAATCTTATAATTGTAATTGTATTACTGTATACTTTATGGTTAAAAAAATTAATTATGAATTAACTAATAGTAATAGACGTGGAGCAATTACGGATTCTAAGAGAGCCTTTAAGGAGGAAATAATTGGCATACAGATTAATTTAAAAAAACCGGCCAAGTGCGAGTTGGACTCGCGCACCGAGGGTTCCGAACAAATCCGTAGGTACGATATATACTCGTACCTACGGATTTGTTATATAATTTTAAAATTATTAAAAATATTTTTATTATATGATGTAACTAAAAATTTATACTTTTCGCAATTATTCCTTTATCTGTGCTATAAAACGTTGCTTCGTACAAAATTTCAAGATTCTGAGTTCACGGGAAGTACCCTGTAGGTTTTGATTCCCTTGCGAATGTCGAAAATTTACGCCATAAACTGCTGTATCTTTTGATTGCTTTGGCTTAGAAGTTTGTTTTTTTTTCACAGCTCTAAGGGACAGTAGACTTGAGTATTTGATATGAATTTCAGCTTGATACCTGAAATACGCGTTCCTGAGAAAAAGGGTCTTGACAGACAGACAGACGGACAACAAAGTGATCCTATAAGGGTTCCGTTTTTTCCTTTTGAGGAACGGAACCCAAAAAAGTAGATATTTTATGTTTTATCGCATAATTAAATTTTCAATAATTAAATAAAAAAAAAATAATTATAAATTAACTAATAGTAAAAGACGTAAAGCAACTACGGATTCTAATGAAGTTCTAAGGAGGCAATAATTTGCTTACAGTTTAGTTTAAAAAAAGACATTTTATGTTTTATAGCAAAATAAAATTTTCGATAATTATTTTTTTTAATTAATTATAAATTAACTAATAGTAATAAACGTGATGCAATTGCGGATTCTAAGGGAGCATTTAAGGAGCAATTAATTGTCATACAGTTTAATTAAAAGAATAATGTTCTACGCAACTTCTTTCTGGTTACGAAAGAATACATTATTGATAATAACCCCCTGGGAATGAGGTGATCGCTACCGTGCTGCTTCTAAATGTATTCATATTTAATTGTACTATATATTATATTGTCAATTAATGTTTCAAAAAGTCCTGTTGGGTTTCTTTCTGGTTGTTCCTAGGACAGAAGTTTTTTTTTCCAAACCAGTGATTAAATCATTAATGACAATCAAAATTAAGTAAACTTACGCTGTAATGCACCCGAAACGTCAATTAAAAAGATTAAATTAAACGCCATAAAATCGAAAATGTAAGAAATCATTACTCTTGTAATTTTTATTGAATAAAATCTATTAGATTGTATTGTATTCTATTCAGGAACTTATATTATGTTATTTGTCAATGATTGAAAAATTTACATCTGTTATTTATTAAAATTACAGGTATTTCTTAAATGAGGGTACGTCGAAAGACCTATCGAAACTCAGCAAGGAAATACGTCACGAGAGGGAGAGTTACAGAGAACTGACCGGACGTTACATCGAGAAGTCAGAAGCAATACCCCTGAAAGAGACACACTACTCTGATCTATCGAATAAAGAATCGATATTGAAGAAGGAAACTAAAAAAGAATCTAAGCCCAAAGAAATAAAGACTAAAATAAAACGATCAGACTCCGGCAGAAGCGAGCTTAAAATTAATGTTAGTGTAGGAAGTAAGGTTCTGATTGTAGAGCCTTTGGGAGTGTACGACTGCATCAATCTGGGAAGGAGGATAGATGTGCAGTGGCCTTCGGAGAGTCAAAGGGAAAGGGGTGGCAGGAACTTTTGGGGGAGTTGGGTACCTATGGCTGGAATGGATGGATTGGTAAGTAAAATTTTGAGGTTGTTATTAATTTTAGTTTGTTATTTTTAATTTTAGTTTTAGTAACTGACATATCAAGCAAGGAGTTAAAGCGCTGAGTGAAGCGGGTTCTAATCCCGCACAGAACTAGTATTTTGTGGCCTACAAATAATTTTTAACCTTGAGTATATTTGTTGTATTACAGGTGGTCCACAAGTGGAGTCCCAACCACCGCGATCCCAAGCTGCGTTCACACGTCGACAAGAGCATCCTTTTACTGCAGATCGACGACAAGTTTGTGCCCATCGCCGAGAATTGTGTGCAGGACCTGGGCGACGAAGTCTGAACCCTGGACCGCCGCACAAGTATTGAATCTTCATCTCTAACAGTGCCACAAGCACCAGGGTCCCAGCACCTGTTTGTAATGTACACGCAAATTTGATTCGCCGCTCTCAAATCGACGGACGGTGTTCAAATGCCCCCCCACTACCGCAGTATTTGACTTACTTTTATATTAAACTAGCGATCCGTCCCGGCTTCGCACAGGTGATTTCTTGATCTCACCCACAGCGTCACCTACTGGGTCCGATTGTGAATCTAAGCCACCCAGGGACCTTCTAACATACACAAACAATTACATCAAAATTGGTCCTGCCGTTCTCAAGTGATGATCTTTCATATATACGACAATTTATTTTTATTTATTTAAATACTATTGTCCACACTGGAATCTAGACATTCCATTTCAGAGCTGGGGAGCACAAATAACCCATTTAATTCTTCGCAGGGGCCAGATCCATATGTCCATAGACCACAATCCCTTCTCATCACAGGTAGGTTGTAAGCTCGTTTGTGCCTTAAAGAAAACACACGTAACTGAGTCTTCTGATAGTTTCTGTACTGAAGAAAAACGTAATTTCGTTAAATAATAGTTAAGACTTTATTAAACTGAAAACTTTTGAAAAATTCGGCTCGTTGGTAATCATGGATAATATTATTTATTTAAATTTAAATACCTAAGACCGACCACTCAGTGAGATGTTTTCAAACAAAATAAATGTTATTCTTGCCTATGACATTCGGAATATATATTCCATAAAATATATAAAGGAAAATGTGTTTAAATCGTAAATATATACTAATTTATATGTAAAAATATCGTTGAATAAGAATTTACCGTTTATTTTGCAAAAGTATCGATTCCACGTTGTATATAAATGCTTTGTTATGTGTAATTAGACGTGGCGTGTATATAAACTATGTATATAATGTAAAAATTTGTGTACACTTCGATTAGGATAAGTAGAATACTTTTTTATGTTTTGTTATTTTTTTTATTGGTTTTTTTTTTATAGTAAAACTATCGCTCCCAAAAAAAACTTAGTCTTTCTTCGACACCAAATAAAATTATCCGCGAAATTTAAATGTGTATTTGTCTCTTTTATATTATATAAAACCTTTATGTAAAAAATTTTAAAGCTGGGTGCACACGGTCATTGTACTTTTTACAACGGCCAACTTTTTAAGTATTTACTCATCCAAATTCTTAAATCTAAACGAGGAGGGCAGCAGTATCTTCCTAATTACAGCTGAATAAAAAAACCTGCAGTTGCCAAACCACTTGCCAAGCGTGGCAACTATGATAATTATATGAGGCAATCTATAGAGTAGGCCTGTGCACAGCAGTGGACATTTGGTAGGCTGTAATTATTTGAAAAAAAAAATTATTGTCTTGATTTACAATTCCACTTCGCTAAAACTAGACCACCTTCCCAATTGCACCAAGATAAAGATCACAGCTACTGCATCATTGAAGTAATATGTACTTTTGTAAACACGCTTTGGAGCCTACATGCTCAAACTTACTTAGACTGTGCCATAATATATTACTCTGTGCTGCTTCCATTCATCCTGCACTCGCGAGTTTTGGCGGGAACTTGACCGGCGACGGATTGCTACTGCTGTATTATTGTTTAAATAATGGTTTGAAGTGGATTTTGATATGTAAATGTGGTGCGATTTTGTGTATTAAATGTTTGCGCATGTGAACTATTAATGGAAACAGTGAAACAAGTGCTCTGATGGTGATGTGATTCTCACGATAAGGTGTCAGTCTGCTTAGGTGCCTTGAGATACCATTGCCAACTGTCAGCTGTTTGCTGGCTCAAATTGCCGTCAAAATCTCCCAAGGGCATGCAACAACATATTGTGAAGCAGTGTACTATGAAGCATAATTATACATTGTAACTTCAGGCTCAGAAGGGCTAGAACCCAGAGCCGTTAAGCCAGTTATTAAAAAAAATCCTGCACTCGCACAGATTTTGTTCGCGGTGTCTGTTCTAGTACACAGTACATGTTACTTAAGTTTACTGCATATTATCTTTTAGAATTGTTTGTTTGTACAATGAACGTGTGCACTTGAACTATCATTGTTATTAATTGTATATTTAATCACGTACATATTTATAATATCTAAACGTTATTTGCTGATGCTAGTGACGAGTTACAGCGCGTTGAGTTTTACGAATATACTTGAATTATTCACGTTGATCACTTGTGACTGAACGATTTGGCTTTTGGATGTATTGAGAACTATAATTTAAAGGTATACTTGCTTTGGTTTCGCTCAATTTTGTTTCCATTCAAATTTACTTCTTTAGGTGTTGATCTTATTTTATTTTATTCAATAAGGGCATCCACGTTTTACTGCCACCGAGCGGTACTACTTAGGAACGAGGTGAAATATTTGACAGATTTCATAGCGGGGCAAGTTGAATTGTAAGAGAAGTAGAGGAAATAATGTTTCTTTCTGAAATATTAAACTTTTTTTTTTGCATTCATTCGATTAGAAATGGATAAACCAAACTACTATTCCTAAGAGTAGAAGAATTAATAACAAGTTAAAAATGTTTAAAAAAATACATCACTGAAGCTTTGTTTGGTGTTACACACACACGCACACACACATTAAAAATCGAAAATTTTTCAAAATTGATGACGCTGTGTGACCATCTGCATATCAAATATGTACCTCCGCCCCAATTAGTGACACTGGTGAGCGTAAGATTATTGGCCCTCATTGAATTCGTTCAATTGAGTTACAAAGTTCTTTACTTATTATTTCTTCAAATAACTTTATGTATCCACTCCCTATTAAAGTATGCAGTTAACGCCTCATATCAAGAAAAAAGCAAAAGAGCGCTGCGTAAATTTATCCATGATCAACTTCTTGACACGCACTTACGCAAACATATTTCTTTTCTCTTTCTTTAACAGACCGGAAAGTTCACTCCTGCACGCACACATATATACAACTTGAACCATTTCTTTTGTTGCTTAAAATATGCTTCTTTATTGTTTTGGCTTGATTTTTGCGTCATTTGAAATGTACGCAGGGCGCCGTCAAATTTTTTCTTTGTTCTCCGATTTTCGCATGGTTATAACATTTAGGGTCAGCGCACATTGAGTAGCAAAATGCTCGAGCATGTTCTTACCAGTCAAGTACGTGACTGGAAGATCTTTTTGGCAATGCCTAGACTGATATCTCTTATTGTTATGGCTTAAATTAGCTAAATCTAGTTAGGCTAGTTTAGCTAAATCTTCCTCTTCGATTCCAACGGATAAGGCTCTGCGCATCTACTCTTTTAGTTGTTCCATGGTGATTACACTGCGAGACTGGCGCATGAACTCGACGCGACCTCGCTGGTGTTTTTGCCGACATTAGCACTGTTTTCCTCAAAGAATTCTACACTACTAGATGGTCTCTGCGGCCTTAATATATTGCTTCTACTATCACAGGTGTGATTGCGCGGGCACGGGCGCGGGTGTGGTACCTAGCACGGTAAAAGCATCTCGTATGCCACGTGGTTGTATTTTCATTTACGACAGTTATTGTTTTAGGCAAATACAAAATAAAGTTACATGCTTATCTGAAATAATTTTAAAATTACGTCGACAAAGTGCGCACATAAGTAATGACAGCGTTTTCTTAGTTACATTACACAAAATCACTGTTAGATTGTCAAAAACAACGTTCGCGGTTTACAAAACGAAGAATTAGTTTTCTCGCCCGCTCCAAGTCGACTAAAGGACTTACGGAGAATTGACCGTAACTTGATGCGCAATTAAGGCCGCAGACCCCGTCTAGTAGTTACACTTAGAAGTCTTTGCACGCCACAGGGAAATATAATTTGCGCGCTATTTTCAACTCTATTTTCAGTCATGATTTACTTCATTATTATATTACATCATTTATCAGTGAAAATTGCTCGAACATTGTGCTTACTACCAGCGCTGTTTCTCGTTCGCACTGTCGTTTATTTACTGTAATTTTTGAAAAGTGACTGGATTGCTTAGGTAATTGCTTCTATTTTAATAGAAAATTCTTACTTCTGCTATGAACTTCAACATTCGTTCATCCATTCGTTCACGAATGCACAAAGTTCAAACCGTGAACTTTTTTTTAAAACACTACTTTTGATCTTTTGAACAATGACAGGCATTTGAGATTACACAATAATTATATTATACTATTGTGTATTCAAATCGTCTTAGATATATATTTCAGACTGATTTATAATTGTGCCTATGCCTAAGTAACGAAAATAAATTATACTTCTGATTGTTTATATTAAGGATTGTGCAGAGTACTTATCTATTCATAATCATTTTTGTTTTTATATAGATTCTATTTAGTTTCCTTAAGTATAGCTGCAAGTACATTCTAATTAATGTCTTGATTTTCTATTACATTATAACATCTGTCTTGAAAATATTTGTACGCCGGAAGCGGCAGAATATTTAGGATCTGAATTATTTTGTAACCACTTTAATGTACCATATTCTAACAAATAAATCATCTTTATCTTTATCATTATAAATTGTTATCATCATGTTTACTTATTACCTTGATTTCAAATATCAGTCCAGTGTATATGAAATTGTAAACCGAGTTCTGTGGTACATATAATATATATTTATATCATATAGTTTATACATTTACACTGACCTACACTATGTTTTCTGTCATTCACATTTGTAATGTAAAAAGATAGTTTTTATTTTTAAATATATGCAGCACTTGGTACAGTTTGAAAAGTAATAATTATAATAATAGGCCAACTTCATATTGAAGAACGGCAGTAAACTTAGTGATGAGAATGTATTTCTACATTAATTCCGAATTTTTAAATAATCTCTTAGTATCTGATCCCATAATATCAATTATCGTTTGCGATTTCGATAGTATATTATATCAGATATTAGTTCTAAATAATAGAGTGACATCTGATTCTTACGTAAAAGAATTAAGCAAGGTAGAAATTTGTAGTTAGGAAGGCACAATCC